GACCTCCACCATGAGAATGCATCTTGAAACCCGTAAGAATATCCTCCGTCACAGAACCGTAGATCCACCCAATCTGGTTGCACAAGAGTCATCATCATCAGAATCAAGAATCTATTGCATAAAGAATTACAAGAAAAATGTTTAAGATTGCGTACCTCTTTTCCCCATTCGGTTTTATCTTCATATCCGCAGCTAATGACTTGGATAGCTTCTTTAAGAAGACAAGCCGGGCTTGCGTTTCTGGCCATCCCACCGTTCTCCATACGAGCAGATGCAACAAAAACAGGAGACTGCCCAAACTTCTTCTCCAACTTCAATTGCATCGCCTCCGTTGATTGTTCCACATTATTAGAGCCTAGAAAAGAAAAAAGAAAAGAAAAAAACAATTTTTTTTTAGCAAAATGCTCTGACTCTAAAGGAGTTATACAACAACGGGACTGTAGTGTTACCTTTAGTGATGCGACCCTCTTCGATATTTTCTAGCGCGTGGATCTGCTTCGACGCTTCCCTATTCTTCTTCTTCTTATCCGCAGCCACTGTCTTTGCTTTACGGTTCTTTCTTGAACCACAGCAAAGGAAACACCATTTTGGCCAGCAATTGCATGTCTTACGCGGAGCCTTCTTCTTCTTCGGTGCATCGAATCCGTAAAGTGCTTGCCTCCTGAAAACACAACCTGTCCCAACGTATATTGGCCCTTGTAACCCATCCAAACCCTTCATATTGATCTGTATTCAAAAACATTCATTAGTTGGAAATGTACTTAATTTTCAAGAAAAGTGGATATACAATGGAAAATCATTGGATGTGCTACTTACATCGAAGAACACAACATTGCGATTTGAGTATCGATCGTGCCGATCAATCCCATCGAATCTTTGAGGGAACTGAACATAACAGATTTTCTTTCCTGACTGAGGATCCATCATGAAACACATTGCTTCTCTAAGAGCTTTGCTATTGTTGATGTAGTGATCACAATCGACGTTCAGAAGATAAGGAGCATTTGACAGAACCCCCGAGACTCGTATCTTCAACAAGTTTGTAGATGAATTCAAAGAGTCAATAACCATTTAAATGATAGGGTGTGAAAATGAATTTACAAAGAAAAACTTTTCAATAGTGCTATTTACCAGTGAATTCATAGCTCCAGCCTTCTTATGGTGATCAAATCCGGGTCTCTTCTCACGAGAGACATAAACTAACCGAGGCAACTCGTTGTTTTCAACATCACGAACACCGTCACTTCCAAGGAAAACCTATTGCAAGAAAACCGGTTAATTGTTTGGCACGAAGCATATCACAATAGAAAGCCTTTTCTCGGAAATAATAAAAACATTTGAAACTCACCTGGATCATGCCGGGATGATCTCGCACACTATTACCGGGCCAAGGTGTACCGTCTTGCATCGTCCAACCATCCTCAGGCACTTTCTGTGCCGTCGCAACTAACGCATTGATCTTTACTTTGAACTCTTCATAATCTCTCTGTCAAAACCAGCATAAAAACACAACCTTTCAAATCAGTATCCAACGCCATCATCTTGTTTCCATAAGAACCCTCATAACAAAAGACCGATCCTTTTCTCATGAGAAAATCAATTGATAAAGAAGCAAAGAACTAGTAACCTTCATGGCTCGCCGTTCCCTGACAAATGCGGGATGGACTTTATTCTTCAGGTAGTCCATTTTGTGGCAGAAATACCATTCAGGAGCACGGGGCTCGATACAATATTTCTTACAGAAAGGAACCCATTTCCTTGCGAATTCCGCAGTCTCGGAAAGAGCTTCAAAAGTAAGCATAGCAGCACCATCATCAGACACATAACAAGCAACCCTATCAACTGGATAATCAACCGCAAGAATAGACAAGACAGTGTTTGCTGTAATAAGCGGAGGCTCTTTTAACGGATCCACTGTACTGACAAATACATCCACAGCCGATAGTTCCGATGGTTTCCCTTCTTTCTCATATCTGCAAACAGAAGGTAAAATAAAATTAGATTCCCAAAACAAAGTTTTAACATTTCCAGGTGTGATATCCCAAGTGATTCAAGTACCTTAATGAGAGTCGGTCCAAGTATGTTTCTCGCTCGATTGGGTACCACTTAGGGAACTGATCAAGAACCCATGAGACCGCAAACCATATCTCACAAATCACGGATATAAGCCACAACGCATACGCATCTTTGACCGGGTGAAGAATACGGTAGTGAAAGAAGAGACCAAGAATCACAAGACGTAGAACAATTAACATCCGGTATGGATTTATCTTGCTCGATTTGATTGGTATCTTCCTAGACAATGGCTGCCTTCCCTCATCCATCCTAATAAACCAAAATACAAAAAGCTTCATCAATATCACTGCAATGGAAATACACCAATTTTCAGTGTGTTTTTATGTCTTCTTACATTGGAAAATCGGCATCATCGCCATCTTCAAAATCAGGATCTCCTTCATGTTTAACGACCTGAAGTTTCTCATTCTGCTTTCTTTTCCATTCCTCCATCCGATCTTTCCAAGCGACACTTCCATAACCGTAAACCGCAAGATCTTTCTGAGGAACCATAGGTCTTGGATGTGCTGCAATTAGACAAAGCAAATCAGTAACCATAGGCATAAAGACACAAACTTTTACTCATTAGATACTTAAAATCCAACAATTTACCAGCAATGGTTGGGTCAGAGAGAGAAACCGGGTGAACTTTATTGCCATGACCACCAAGTGAAGGAGGAACAATAAGAGCATGTCTATCAGAAGAAATCTCAATGTCCTGTAATTAGGAAACAAAAGCCAAAATCTGAGAAAGCCAGTATATAAAATCACTAGAGATGTGATTGTATAATGTGGATAAATTATGAGACTTTTACCTCGTCGCCATAAGTCAGCAGTGGAATCTGAGAGCCAGGTGGAGCTGAATCCAAATCAGATTGTGGGAAACCGGAGTTGCGACGAGAGATTGACATACCTTCAGAAACCTGATCAAATCCAATCCCATTGTTCCCGTAATCAAACTCATTGTCTAAATCATCAATGTCATCTTCCTCTTCATCATTTTCAACCCTTGGACTTCCTAACAAACAACAACAACATAGGCCAAAAATCAGCAAATCTTTCACATTAGCAAAGCACAAAACCAGATTAATCGGTCTAAAGAACAAACCTTTAATCCGTTTGTAACGGGTTTTGCATTGTGGACAGGCTTGATTGCCTTCTCGTCTTTCGTACTCATAGCAAGGTCTACACACAGGGAATGCACATTCGTTACACGCCACAAATGGTTCTCCATCGACGGTCAATTCAATCTCGTCTCTGCAGATTTGACATGTCTGTCCACTCAGCTCTTGCACTGATCTTATCTGTTCACAAAACAACAGAGTTAAAACTTATCATCTGGATCATAGTGACAGTAAAAAAGACTTTAAACTCCTAATCAGAATCAGAAGAACATAGATTGGATCTCACATATAAAAAACAACACCGGATTCACTACTTAAATCAATCCAGTGACAAAAAAATCTCCACATATCTGAAAGTTGTAAGAGGAATTTTACTCGTCATTTTGACAGATTCCTGAGTGCACTTTGTGTCGGCAACTGGACACAAACTTTGATTGAAGAAATCTCTTAATTTGTAGAATTAAAGACAAGTCACAAAATTCTTACCACCGACACAAACAATTCAAGATAAAACTAGCTGCAAAAGTGCGGAATCTAAGAAAAACCCTAAATCCTCATTGATTTATACCGGTCAAACCCAGATCCAGAAGGGAAAAAAAAATGAAAGCCAAAGACTTTTGCACAGAAACAGAGAAACCCAGATCAAAAAACAGCTAATTGGAAACAATGGGCGCTTATTAAAAACCAGAAAGGATAGGGAGAAAGAAAGAAGAAAAAAACTGGAATCTTACTCTGGCATTCTCATCGGCATTAATCAGAACAAACTCGTTCCTGTTGTGAGAACCAGCGATTAACCGACCACCGGTATTCATATTGTCGAAACACAGACGCTACAATCTTTGGATTTCACAGATCGATTGAAGAGAGAGAGGAGTGAATAAATAAGCAACAGGTTCAACTCAGTGCAGCTCGGTTCTCAGAGATCCAGTCCATAAGAGAGATTACTCTCTCCAGCGGCAAATCGGAGTCCGAAAAAAAAAACAGACTTTCTTTGGAAATATATAAAAATACAATGAAGAGAAATAGAAAAGAACGAAAAAAAGAATAGTGTGGTTGTATTGTATATATGGTGATGGTATTGATTCAGCTTCAAGCCACAACCTTTTTTCCTCTCTCTCTCTTCTCTGAAAGTGCACAGTCACAGAAATAAAGGATGATTCCAGAGCGAGAGAGAGTCAATGGTGGAGAGAGAGAGAGAGAGAGAGAGAGAGAGAGAGAGAAGCAAGCTGCAAATGATAAAGGGTAGGCCAAAAAAAATTTACAAACGCGTAACGAAGAAGAAAATTAGTGAGAAAGAGAGAGAGAGTGATTAGTTAAATGGTGAGATTATTGATGGCAATTATGTAGATGAGAAAAAAAAACCCAAAGCCGATATTTTTACCAAAATCAGAGAAAAGTTAAAATAAATAAATAAATTTTGTGGGGAGAAGGAGTGTGGGACCAATTAAACCGGTGTGCTCTCTCTCTCCTCCACTCCACTTGTGTTTTTGTTGTTGTTGTTGTGTTAAGACCTAAAAACACAATATTAATCATTAATCAAATTTGTACTTTTTTTTTTTTAATTTTCTGGTTATGTGCATTTAATCACCCTAGCATTTATTTTGTCTCTAAATTTTAGGTCGTCGGTTTTGGTTTTTTTTTTACTAACAGAACCACCTATTTTAGATTATACTAGAAGGATTTTCTAGAACCTGGATGGAGTTTTTATGGTCATACACTTTCTTGATTCTCTGAATATTAAAAAAAAAGTAAACTAAATTTCGAATCAAGCTATGTAGGATTAGTCGATTTATCTTTATTAACCACTCTTATTCTCTGCGAAAAATTATACCCAATTCAAAGCCAATAATATATTTTATTAGTAGAATAGTATTACTTTCTATTAAATATTTGTCTGCGTATATTCACGTTCTTGCAACATGTGCAAGAAAATAATAGTACTACTTGTAGCGATTTATCTGAATGTAAGAACAAAATTACAATGACAATATCAAGGTCTTAGTTATTGTCCCGGTGTAATATTAAAGAGACTTTTAACAAATATATATATATATATATATATTAAAGAGACTTCTAAATGTGAGATCAGAAACAACAGATATAGAGCTCTCATAAGACATAAAACAATAAGCATCGTGTCCAAGATCCTACTTTCTAGGTCTTTTCTTTTTTCCGTTATAATTTTTCTGGTTAATATTAATCATAAATCTAAGCTATACAGACTAATTTATGTTTTGTAATAAAAACATAAAACAGAGCATGAGACAGAGTTTAACGAGTTTGGTAAATCAAAGGATCGTTCAAGGAGGCGCCGCATTTTTCGTTCTAATTACTGTTAATTTTTTTTATCAAATTTCATGATTTTCGACTGTCTTTGTATTATCTGTTGACTGCATTGGTTTTCACTTTTATCTTCGTCCTTCCTAGTTTAATTTAAATATTTCTTTGGTAATTTATCTGTAATATATTTTCTATTAAAATATGATAGATAAGAGGGATACATTTTCATTTTTGATTTTGAAACCCATACAGTATTTCTCAAATAAATAAAACTTTCACCAAATCATATCCCATCCTCTTATTTTGCTTATAATAATAGACTTTTATTGAGTTTTCACCCCGAATGTTAATAATTAGTTTTTTTTTTGTTTGTGAATAATAAGTTAATAACTCTAATTGCAGAAAATCAGATGGTGAATGCAGATTTACATTTGGCTATCGTTAAAAAAATGGTCACGATCGAACGATACAAAAGACAATTCCGGGTCAAATATATACTGCTTCCAAAAGGTAAACATTTTCAGCGAAAAAAAAAAAACATGTAAGTGCAAATCCAAATAATTGATTTTTACTGGAAAAACTGTTGACTTTCTAAATATTTGTAACGTCTATATAAACAACATTCGGTAGTACACAGCGCAATCCGGAAAAAGAAAAAAAGCAGTAGAATATGTACCCTTCGAATGTAAGGCATGTAAATACAAAACTACGCAAGTACCCATGTTTTTGGTTAGCTTTGTTTACAAAACAAAATTACAGGTGCAATTTATCGAGAAATGTTCAAAACTTTTTTTCTTTCTGAATGAACAAAATAATGTGATTGAAAATAAGTAAACTTATTGACCCCCCCAAAAGCTTAAGTTAACAACTTTTACTTTATTTTAAAGCTCGGCCCCAGTCGCCATATAGCTAATTTCTTTTTCACCTTTTGTCCTCTGTGCTTAAATAAGAGAAAATGTGTAATTATTGACACTATCGTATCACATCACAAATATATATGCCCATGTATGATGTCTATATATGTATACATTTGCCGACAATATAGTTCGTGACATATAATATATATTTAGAAGCAATATATTACAATATTTCAGTTTTGCTTGTAGAAATTTTATATGTATTGACTTGATAATAGCCGGAGAAATCAAGATCATATAGAGTATTGTTTTGGATACGTATATTATAATGTATATAAAAAGAGCGAACTTTAGTAGGTTACCACATCAAATGTCGTTTTCATGATTGATTGAAGGCTGTGTACTGTCTTCTCCAAGCCCTCGTGCCACATGTTCTTATAGAAACTGTCGGTGCGCTTATATTATTCTTTTCCTTATTTTTATTTTGTTACTTTAAAGATTAGGGAAAACAAAGAAATTATTTGCTTGTTTTAACTAGGAAATCTGCATATAATAACTATATGAAAATTTTAGAAAAGAAGATCGAGGTAATGCATTTGGTCAACGTGATTAGAGATTTAAGTCAACCCGGTTAACTTATGGGTTTGTACTTCAACTTGATTCGCTCGTATCACAGCTATTCAATAATTTGTTATATTTCGATTTTCATATTAAAATAAAATTATTTAGCAAAAAAATTAAAATAGATTCAATAATCAAGGAAAAATCTAGATATATAAGAATATAATTTTTAGAAAACAATATAATTTTAAGAAACAAAAATTAACATAAACAACAACTTGTGTGAGAATCTATAAAATAAAGAATGTTAAATAGCTTATTGATTCAGTTAACTGGATCAATTGTTCGTTTTAAACTGACAAAATCCTTCTATAACACGTTTTTTCATTATATTGCACATAACAAAGATCAAATTTATCATTTATTTGACATAATACATCTGAAGACTGAAGCCCTTTTATAAAATTAATTAGAATTCTTTATTTTTAAGATTAATGGTTAGTCTATTTCTAAAATATAAAAATAAGATATGATAGCAGCCTAGGAAAGATACATATAATTATGCTATCAATATATATTTAAAAATACGGTTAATACTGTATTGTTATACTTTGTTTATACATGTATTGATATGGTATGTTATTTTACCAATTTTTGTCAATAGTTATATAAAATTTAAAATATTTTAGAAATCTAAATTTGATACACAAAGTTTACACAAGAAATGTGATAAAAAAAAATTAAGAACTCATGTTTTTGTCAATGAAACATTATTTTTACCAATGCAAAACAAACTTGTATGAAAATTATTATTGTCTTCTGTTATACGGTATATGATGTTCGGTCCAACTGAATACATAGTTTTGGAATATATATCAGATAGATTCTTTCGTAGATTTCTAACTTCCTTCCATCATAATTATGGTACATTATTTTGAAAACAATACCACATCATACTTGAAAACACATCAATCTTCTTATTTTAGACACATCATACGATGATATCAAACGTTTAAATTTAGACTTGCTTAGGAAATTTATTTATGTGTTATTGAATCTAATTTTAAATCCATTGGAATTTTATACCATAATTCAAATACTGTATGTCTGGTATGTCGTCAACTCGATTTAAACAGAAATGCTACAATAAATCCTAAGTCATTTAAACTGAAATGGCATGAAAAGTATCGATCAAATATACGATTACTTGTTTTTGCTCTCGGCTTAACTTGCAATTTGATTCACGACGCAGAACCCAGCCAATCAACGAGTGGCGAATACACCAAATTATGTGGGGTTTGTTTGTCGTTCACATGATTCTTTTCTTTTTTGCTCGTAATTTAATTGTTCTCACTTAAAGATTACGCAATCAGAACTCATAGGCTAAGGTTGCACAAAATTTTACTCTTCATGATTAGAAATGCATCTATATATATACATATATAAGTATATTGATTATTGCAATATTTTACTTTAGTAATACTTTTATATATATATATATACTTGCTGAATGTTGTTTAATTTTGAGTCGTAAATATATCCACTGTGAGCCTGTGAGGAAATATCATCTCAAATTTAAGACAGTTTATAGTAGATTGACGAAATTTCATTTATTTATTTTGTTAAAAACGAAAATCACCATATTTTCTAGTTTTTTTTTAGGGGTTTAAATAGTGAAATTTATTTTCGATCTTGACAAAGAAGATACCACACTAGTCACAGCAACAGTATACATATTTTCTATCAGTTCCTAATTTGGATTAAGTTAAATATTGACGTAACGAGTTCAAAGATTAAACTTCATTAATATGTTATACATTTATTAACTAAAAAGAAAAAAAAATTGATAGACAAGTAAAAGACCCATAGAGACGTAGTTGTTTTGTTTCTTTAAGCAAAACAAAAAAAGTCACCACTTATATCGCATAGTTGTTTGTTTCCTTGTGTATACTTTTTGCATGTTCCTTTTGGAGCCATTTATATTTCTGAAGCAAATTGAATTTATCCGATTCCAAAATAAGAAACCTAATAAACCGCGTCATTCTGAACAAAGGTAAAATTGTCATTGCTTAAAAAAAGAGCATCCCAAATAACAATGATCACATACAAAAAAAATCCCGGTTATTTATCTCAACTAAGCTGTTTCCCTAAACGGAAATTCAAATGTAATTATGTATATTGGTCGAAGCACATAAAGGGTAATTTCCTTTACGTGTACATAAATTTTAGTTAATACGATATGATTAATCTAAACACGTGTTGCATGACTCAGGGGTGACTTTTGACCCATTTATTTTACTATTTTTTTCTAGTAAAAGTGTAATCATAACTGCGAGATAGTGCGCAATAAGTAGCTTTTTAAAAATATTTAAATAACCTTTTCAAAATTATGTTTGTAATATATAAAAAAGGTTTATCTAATATTGACGACCGAAAAGTGCATATTTACGACGTGAGCTCAAAGTAAGAATGTGGTTATTCATTCCATAGCCCTCTCGAAAAATAACATGTCATATAACCTTAAAAACAAAGACAGATACAATCATACATATAAGAATTAAGAATATAATAGTTTTTAAGATAATTTTTTTTTTGCCAAAAAACATAAAATATACTTTTAATTTTTAAATATAACAGTATTGGTGTTTTCGTCGATCTTACATATATTTATTTATTTTTAAGTTTAACGAAAATAATTTTAATTAAAATTACGATAAAAAGCATAGTTAACAATACATTTCTTTGTTATAAAAAAAACCATACACAATACTCTATGAAAGAGAATTAAGTTCCAATGGCTAATTAACTTAAGTAAATAATTAATGCCACGTGTCGAATGAGAATCCACTTGTCGGTGGAGGGTCCATTGAAATAAATTTAAGATCGGTAAAATCATATTCTTAAGTGTTTTAAATTGATATATTTCTACGAAAAAATGTCAAAACTCACAAAATGCACCATCCATTAAATAATTAATACAAATTTTTTGTAACAATTGTGGTTGCAATAAATTTGAAAAGTCATATTATAATGTAGACAATTAAACCCGAATTTACCGGAAAATAAGCAGACGAATTTTTTTTTTTTTAAATGAACTGAACAAATATCTGACAGCTGTGAGATTGCTTTGGTGTACTTTAGACAACCAAACAAAAAAATAAAAGTCTAACTGGTCCGAACTAAGGAACTCATCCTCTCTCAGATTTCGGGCAGCGTTTGGGAATTTTCGGGCAGCGGTCACGTTAGGTCTTTGCGTTTAGACAGCTCATCACCAGTTTAACTCTGCGAGTACAGTTCGTGAATCATACTCGCGAGTATGGTTCGTTAAAACCAATTCTTAAACCGAAAAATGAGTAAAACCGTCAAAAATAAAATCAAGAGTATTAATAATGTTGTATGCTGTTATTTCAAGGATTACATATATGTAATTAATTGTGAAGTTGAATCTGTCTTTTTTATTGAAAATAAAATTACGGGGCGGCGGATAAGAGATTGAATATATAAAAAAATATGAAATAACACATGCAAAAGACTGGTCTTAAGATGTCATTGCCATGTTCTTCTTCACTAATACCCCATATTTTCCAGCTATGTGATTCTCTTTCGCAAGATTTTAAAACATTTCATAAATCAAAATCAGAACTTCATGTTTCGTTGTCTTTTTCTTAAAAAGGTGAGAATAATTGGAAGAAGAGTAGAATCTTGATTTCCAATTTGGCAGAGTAAAACAAAAGTAGGGGGAGAATAGTTTTAACTTTTTTTAGCAATGAAGGCTATTTACTTGATTCCAAGTTCAATCTGATAGGCAATCAAATAGTTAAAAGCTACCTATAGTGAGATATATCTATTTAAGTTTTGACATGTAACTATCAAAGTGGCTGTAGTTTAGTGGTGAGAATTCCACGTTGTGGCCGTGGAGACCTGGGCTCGAATCCCAGCAGCCACACCTTTTTTACTGTTTATTTCTTCATAAACGGGCTTTCATCGATTAATCCATCTTTTTAATAACAGGCTTCTCTTTTTTAGATTGGGCTTTTGGAATCATTCAAGCCCAAAGACTTTCTTCGCATTCAAGTAAATCTACTCACAGAATATTTTTGTTGTCCCCCATAAAACTGTAACTACTACGTGTACACACGTTAATAAATCCGATTAACAGTTAACAGGTAGCGGTTAAAAAGTAAAAACAAGAACAGAGAAGAAAGGGTGTTATTGGAGAGTTGATTTATAAAGATTTTTAGAATTTAAGATTCTATAGTTATTGGTTTGTGGATTTTTACATTTTTAATAGATTCATTTGTTATTCATTTAAAAATTATAAAAATCAATTGTTATTGATATGATGATTTTTATAATCTAATCAAAATCCATTGTTATTTAAAAAGTCTGCATTTTAATGATTCTATGATTCTATTATAATCTAGTGTTATTGGCATAATGATTCTTTGTACTTTAATTCATAAATCATGATTCTCAAAATACTATCTATATCCTTTGGATTATCAAAATCTGTCATATTAAAAAATTCTTAATAGATTGTTTATATCCATAAAACTTTCTCTAAATTTTACAAATCCAACAAAATTCTTAAAAATTTGACAAATCTCATGATTTTTAAAATCAACTAAAATCTTCATAAATCCAACTCCCAATAACCCCCAAAGATTGTAACAAACAAAACCCGCCAAAATCAAGAATCAGTGTTTCTTCATTTTTTCCAGACACGAACTGTACCATCAACCGAAGAAGTCAACATACAATCTTCCTTCGGGTGGTAACTCACGCTTGTCACCTGAATTAAACAATCGAAGAAGTCAACATTGCTAGTTAGAAAAGTTATAAAAGGATTAAGAAGAGGGGAAAAAAAAGAAGAAGAAGAGATTGAATATTTTTACCACTAAATCATGAGCTCGAAATTTCGATACCACTTTTGCATCTACCAAATCCCAAATTAAAACCAATCCATCCTCTGATCCTCCAACCACATGTGCATCCGAATTAGTGAGGCAACAATCGGTTTTAAATGACTGTTTCACATGGGAAAAACATCATTCATTAGTCATACTCTTAATTGTTGTAACTACGATATAATTAAGCAGCCATGGATTATGGTAACTAATGACTAACCTTAGAAATATGACCTTTATAAACTTGGAGTAGCTCTCCTGTGGTTCTGTATTTTTAAAGATATTCATAAGAATTAAGACAATCTGCAAAAGAAATAACAGTTTACTTTTTTTAAATACAATTTACAAGGGGAATGTTACCGGTCAAGTAAACGCAGAGTAGAATCCAAGCAACCAGCTAAAACGCAGTTTCCGTCATTTGATAGCGATATACAATTGACCGGTTGTCCTAAGTTATCCGACATCTCCCTGATTCCAAATTAAAACGACATTTCGAATCACTTATTCCGATTCCTGGAAAATAAAATACCAAATTCTTGCCCTAGTGTGGAGTTTTTTACATACCTACCGATACGCATGTCAAATGTCCGAACAGTTCCATCGACACTACCACCAATAATCTCAGTCTTTGTCAAAATAACAGACATGACTGTATCCAAAAACGTATCAATGACCTGACAACAAAAAAACATCAAGAAAATAAAAGCTGGTTAAGATTTTAGCTGTAAAGTAATCCGAGATTTGGCATCGCGCAAAAAAAGAAAGGAGGAAAACCTGAACAGGCTCAACACTGTGAGATCTGCAGTCCCATACACGTAGCGAACGATCGAAACCAGCTGATACAACTACAGCTGATGAATCATTGAACTTCACTGCATTGACCTGACAAGATCATTGTTCAATAAGGTAGAAGAAGAAGAGATGAATAATCAACGCAAACTGAATCCTAATACGCGACGACATTGATTCCGAGTTTTGAGACATTTACCTCTCCGTCGTGACCACGGAATTTACGGATTACGCGTCCTGTTGAAACATCCCAATAATAAACTTGTCGATCACCACCACACGAACAAAATTTGGCATTGTCTCTGTGAAACAAAAAGATATATATATCATTGAAACATGAATAAACAAACACACTCATCATATTAGCTTCCACCAAACAAAACTCCATTTTGCTTTACAATTGTGACACGAAAGCTCATAAAGATCTGAGATTTCGTGTCTTATTCAATCAATTTTAGCTGCAAGCAACAAACAAACTCCAATTTTCTTTGCAATCAACAAAATCATTGAAATACGAATAAAAACGCACTCATTATATCAGCTACCACCAGATAGAACTCCAGTTTGCTTGACACTAGTGAAACACAAACTCCTACATTTTCAATTTGTTATCTTATTTATAACAGTTTTAGCTGCATGTAACCCAAAAAACAAATACATAACCCAGAATCCATATAATTTGGACTATTTTTAACTGGAATTGAACAAAATATCGAAATCATAGAAGAAATAACTAAATAAAAGCTCCTACAAATATGAGTTTGGTTCTCTTATCCACTCAATTTTAGCTGCAAGCAACAATAAAACACACACAACCAGAATCCAATATATTTGGAGTATAATAACAAATTTGAATCGAAATAACAAATAGTTTAAGAGAATCTGTAGATGAGGAAGGTTCAAATTTCATACGAAGTAACATGAACGTCGCGGACTTCGCGGCCATGGGATTTGTAGGTCTTGATTAGGATTCCACGGTGGGGGTTCCAGAGGCGGATGGTTCGATCCTTGCCGCAAGTGAGAGCGTAGTTTCCGTCTCCGTTAAACCTCGCCGCTAAAACCGCCCCCTCGTGGCCTTTAAGCACGTGTGCCTCTTTCGTCGGCAGCTCCGCCGTCGCGCTCATCTCTGTTTCTCGCCTGAACTGACAATGGGCTTATACTGAAATAGACTTATTAGCTAATTATTTATATATTTTTGGGCTTTTATAAAGCCTAGTTTACTAAGCCCATCAAGATGCCAAAAACTGCCGAGTATTTGAAGTTTTGCCACCAATTTTGCGTTTGAATCGTTGAATGCATTGCATTTGTGCACACTTGGTCTAAAATCTAAATGCGACGTTATAAAATGATTACAGATTTTACTTGTTGGACATTTAGGGATAAAAACGTATGTTTACAAATACATAATTGACGTGCATAATTGGGTGTAACGGAAATTTATAAAAACAGAGGTGAATGCTTAACAATTATGGGGTAAATTGATTAACCACGATCACTTGTGATAATTAATAACAAAATTTTAACGAACGAAAAAACTTCTCATCTCCCTCATTATGTTTTCACTATATAAACTTCAAATCACACACGCATCATCTCTCACTAATCCCATAAACAACAAGAAGTAAAAAAAGAAGAAGAAAGAAATGGCCAGTAATACAACTTCAAAGCTTTTCTTCCTCACATTAATCACAATTTCATGTCTCATATCGACCGTCCACATCGTCACCGTCGTTGATGCAAGGAATCTGCAGACCACGACAGTGGCGACTGAGGAACATTCCGGCGCCGGGAACCTGATGGATTGTTGGAACGCGGCGTTGGAGCTAAAGTCTTGCACCGACGAGATCGTTGAGTTCTTCCTTACCCGTACCGGTACGACAGAACCGGCGGTTTCCGGTGGAATTGACAAAGATTGTTGCGGAGCCATCGGGTTGATCGTGAAAGAGTGTTGGTCCGTTATGTTTACTTCTTTAGGGCTTACGACTATGGAAGGGAATAATCTTGTAGAGTATTGTGATGTTCAGGCGGAGAAACCGGAATTGTCACCGTCTCCGGCGCCGGAAACTTTGGCTTTGTCTCCCGTTGAAATTACGGACCCCGGACTTGATTAATTATATGGTTCTTTTATATTCTAATTAATTAATAAAAGTTACTCTTATGTAAGATCTAAACTTCCATTTTATATGATGATATTTACAAGTAAGCAAAGAATGAATATGTTCAGAATGAATAAAAAAAAATCACATGAATTGAATTAAGTTATGTCTTTGTATTGTTCTATATGCATAAATTAAGTTTTGTACTACGAATCACAGAGCGTCTATACAGTATAGGCTAAGGGTTGATTTACGTTCTCAATGTCACGCCCAGTAAGGTTAATGTTTGAGTTCTGAACGATAAAGCAATTGGATTCAGAATAAGTAACAATCCACATGTTTGTTCAATTTCCACGGTTTTTACATAGAACCAATCACCAAACCGGAATTCCACCCAGAAAAATAATCAAAACCGGAATCTTAAGTTGCCGTTTGTTTGTTTCCTTCCCGGGTTAAATTAAAAACTCATCTTCATCCTTGAACTCTAGTAGACTCACCTGATGGTTTCTTCCGCAAGCTTGTCAATACTCCTTCAACAAGCTTATCTTCGCCACAAGCACAAATCTTCTGGACATCGTTATCAGTGTCCAAAGAATCCAGAATTTGAAGTAACTCTCTCTCTACTTTATCCCGTTTCTTCTCCTTGCTCTTGTTGGCGCTCTGTTTTAAAGGAGCTTTTTCGTGCGTCTCTGAGTCAGAATCTTCATCCTCTGAAACAGATGGGTCATACTCATGAATCTCTTTGGACACTGGACCAAGTTCTTCAAATGATAAGTCAGGTCCATGTGGAGCCGGCGTCGAGGAAGGAACAATGTATCCGGATTCAATCTTCGCCTCAGGCATCATTTGTATCAAAGACTGCAGTTTCGTATAACCGAGGTTATGATAATCTAAACGGTACCCAAATGTTTCCAAAAAGTCTTTCTTCAACTTGCTCATGTCATAACCTCCAGGGTTTTCTTCTGTTATCTTCTTTACCAGCTTATGACAATCCGCAATTACCTCGCTTCTTGATCTCTCCAACGATTTCGGACTCATACCAAAGTCGTTGGTCATTTTCTCATCATCTGCTTCGACACACTGTGATCTTGACATGTTCACAAATATCGATCTCAATCCACTAGAAGCACGAGTGTGGTTAAGACAAGATCCCTTTTCAGCGAACCGATTTACTCTGAAAGGTAGAGCATGAGAAGGGTTCTCTTTGATCGATTTCTTCTCTGATATTAATAGAGATACTATATCAAGCATTTTGGACACATCAAGCGGTTTAAGACATGAAGGTCCTTCGTCCTTTAGATTCTTAGCCAACGCCTCTCTGAACAGATATAACAAAAAGAGCAGCTTACCTTAAATTGAATATTATTTCCTTGATAGCTAACGCAGAAACACTAGTAAGGGAAAGAGAAGAATCAAGAACCTTGATCTTGAGTGCGAAACAACGACGAAGCCTCTTGGAGAATTAATGAAAGATTCAACATCCTTCCAAAACGAATCTTTTGCAAAGATGTCATCTACTTGAGCTCCAGTCGCTGCTAAATTACTAAGCTCTCTGTTTCTTCCTTCTAAAAAATTAAATCTCTCCAGAAGTCGACTTAAAAGCCCTCGACTTTTAGATTTCTCGTTGCCTACTTCAGTATCTGCTTTTACTTCCTTAGCAGATTCTCTAGAGGTGGAATATGCAATTCGAGATTCTACTATGTCTTTATTCACCACGTTTCCTTGACTAACAACGCCTTTCCCTTCGTCACCATTTCCAGAAATACGTTTCTTTTCTTCGAGATGCTCTAATTCCATCTCATCTGAACCAAACCATAGCCTATTTAGCTTCTGAAGAAACCCGTCTTTTTCCTTTGATGAAGCAACATCCTTCTCAGCAGTTAAAGCTAGCTGATTTTCTTTCACGGGTTTATCTTTTGCCTTAACATCAATCTGGCTAACTACCGGAACAGACCCCTGAGAACTCTCTGGAGATTGAGATTCCTTTTTGACATCTTCAACATTCTGCACGCTAACAGCTTTGGGATTGTCGGTGCTTAGTTCCGGCTTGTTATCCGTTTCCTGTGTACAAGCACGAACAAGAAACACACCTTCTCCCTTTGGAACAACCTGTAAGATCTTCGGCATAGATAACAAAAACCTCGAAAACTTCTTATGCCCGTAAAAGTTTTTATCTAACGGTACATTTCTCTTGCTCAGCTGCTCACGCAGTTCTGTAATGGCTGCTCCCTTGGGATATAAACTCAATACCAAACCAATCTGCTTAACCACTTCTTTCGGGATAGGACGACAAACCTTAGAAGAAGCCGAATCGGGATTAGAATTCGATACCGGAAATTCCTCAGTTGTCACACTAGAAGTACAAGATTGTAGCTTGGTCGTGGTGGAGGAGGAAGATGTGGCAAATGGGTCAAGAAGAGGAGTTCTATAGTGACCATACCAAGAATTGTAAGGACCATCCGGTGGCTGGTTAAAGTGTTTACCAATTGAATATTTTCCTCTGACTAATGCATTCCAATCCCACATTATCGAAGCAGCGCTGCACAGTACACCATGCGTCCTTTCTTCGTAGCCAGCGAGCAAAATGTTGTAATTGTTCATCCTCAGTTTGTGCAAGACGCTAGCGTAATCTCTGTCGCTGGAGATGAGGAAGAGATGAGCAGGAGGTGGGTTTTGAGTAACCCAACACATCAGATCCGTAATCATAGATCTGTCCGCACTGTTCTTCCCACCTGAGAAATCACATACAAACACACACACAAACAAAAAAGGTAAGCTTTTTTAATACGAGCAGTGTGTGAATGAAATGAACCAGAAAGCAGGTCTTTTTCTTTGTTTGGAACCTTGAGGGACATGATTGAGACTGATTCCGGTTGCGGAGAGAGCCTCCTGGTTCGTTCTCGAGAGCTGCAATACGTCTCCGAAGGCTATGATCGTGACGGGTCCTTTGATTCCGTTGATTCTAACGGCGGCTGTTATGGTCTGAGCTACTTTGAAGACGTTCACACCCGCCGGCAAATTACAGTTCTCGAAATCCCACCACACCCAAACCCTAACTCCCCGAGACTCCTCGTCGTGATGTGGACGCCTCGAAGTAATTTGACAGGAGATGGATCCAGAGGTAGCATTAGAAGAGGAGAAATTCGCGACGAGAACAGAGATCGCCCTTTGCGGCCGCCGCGGAAGCTCGGCGACGGAGGAAGCGACGAGTCGGAGGAAGAGAGTTTTGGTAGACACGAACTGCATGATTTTCTCAGGAAATGAGAAGAACAAGGAGACGTTTCATTTGCGACTGTAATGGCCGAAATAATTGAGCGGAGGTTTTAGCATTTTAGTAGTTGAGGAAGAAGAAGAAGAAGGACGAGAGAAAATGAGAGAAAATGCCAGACTAAACCCCTTGCTCACATGCATGTCACGTGATTATTAACTAAATATGGGCCCTTGTTTTGTTAAGAGGCCCATAACGTAGAATCAACGAGTTTTTTTTTGCATGACTTTGTCTCGGGTCCATTGATCCATCACTCATTTGGGCCGAATTAATCACCCTCTAAAAGACACGTGCTATTTCTTTACATGCGAGCAACCTTCTTTTTTTTTTTTTGGGTTTTACGTTGGAGCCTTCCGCCGTATAAATGTGAATTAATTTTTCTTTCTTTCGTTGACGACAACGATAGCTCTTTTATTGACCAAACCATGATTAGTTTCGCTTTTTCTTCTTTAGTCGTCTTTTTTTCTTTTTTTAGACGGTAGGTTGTGTTCGCTTTTAAGAATCGTAGATGCGTATATTCCTTGAATTCATCCTTCTCATAATTTGCACATTTATTTAAATTTATAGGGTTGATTTTACGTACAAAACGATACAGAGAAAAAAAAGGAACCATAACATACGAGAGAGTACTTCTAGAGAAGATACATATATTGTGTAATGATCGAAAGTGAAATTTTGATCAAAGCATGCATGTATATAGGTATCAAGTAAAAATGCATGTATATGTATCAATTAAAAAAGACTAGTGCTGATAAATAATTAAATACACGCACCTATCGAGTATCGATGCATCATATGTATCAGTACTCAGTATATATGACATGTTAATTTAGAAGGCGACTCTCCAAGAAAAGGTCAGTGCGAGGTTTTGTTTCGTGGATTGTTCTAGTAGTTTTACGGAATGAAAACTGTCCACATATCCAAAATTTAAACAAAATAGTTTTTCAGGTTTATTATGTTGGTTTCAACGACCCAAACACATGTTATATATGTATAGTGCATACCAAATTAACATGTGATTTAGAAAAAGGAAAAAGGACAATAAAAATCTAAATTTATATTATTGGCGATCATTTAAGGATTAACTTAGATTGCATTTATCCATTAAAAAAAAAAACTTAGATTGCTTTTGCATGGCCAAGACTCGTAATAATGACGTACGTGGACGTTCGCGGTATACAGTCACCATCTACTTTGTCTTGTATACGATAAACCACATGCTTCTGGGTCATCAGACACTTTAATCTTTATCATATTTATTTTTTTACTTTTATGATTTCTTTGAAATTGATTCCATATCTTTATACATTATAATATCAATAACTTATTTTTAGGCGTCTTTTATTGGCTAGCCCCAGAGGGACAGCTTATTTTCTCTAAGTTTTGAATCATGATGATTGAGTCTATAAGATCAAACATCCAGTAGGCACAAAAAAGAATAGCCAATGTAAAAAACTCCGAGAAAATATATCTCAACTAGCCAAGCGCATTGTTTGTTTTTATTAATAAATCAAGATACAGTTCAATTTTGAACCTTTATTGGCAGATCAATTTTGAACGTTACACACGCTAGCTGTATCTTTTGATATCGGAGTAACAATGATTTGAATGTATATGGGTATGGCTAATGTTTGGACTGACAGTGTTATTTTATTGATCAAGAGAAGATCCATTAAGCTATAACTAATCAAATTCATCATATTAATTACGTTAGTATTTGTGAAAATAGTATTATACATACACGACTCTGTAAGTTAAAAAATTTCTTAACCACAAAATCTTCCAAAACATTTTTCACTTTTTCGTTTGCTTATTATACCAATTTTTTCTGTTAAAGTACTTATTATTCTATCCCGCAATATTAATAATAAAACTTGGTCTTAGTTGGTAAAGTTGTCGCGAACAAATTGTGAGATGATATAATGGAATCATTCAGCATTTTCGTATATTTAATTTGAGACTACACCATATAAACAGTGACGTAATTTTTTATTAATCGTTAAACTTACATGATTGCATAACGATTGAACGTAAATTGTTATTTCACTTGAATTTATAATCAGTAAAATCCAACAGAACCACGAACGTTGTTTTTTTTTTCAAACAAAATCATTATGTCCTCATCTTTCTTTATTGAAGTTGACGTAATTACTTATTGATTTAATCATTTCATCAACCAAATTTTGTTTTCTACGAATCTATGTTTTTACAGTGTATAAATCCCCACCGGCCCTGTCCAGCATATATATAGTACGTATGGTGTGGTGATTAATGGACGGAACGAGAAACATGTACTAAAAAATCTTCTGGAGTCAACATCTTAAATTATTTTGGTTGGTATAGTGAGACTGTGACACAAAAGTAACATCTTTTCTCTTCCTCCACTCTTAGCTACGTACTTTTTATTTATTTATTCCATTATTTTCGAATACTACCATAATAAAATATCAAAATTATATATGCGTGCTTGTGTATATACTTATATAAATGCCCACTTAGCTTCCTATTATATATAACTCGAGGAAGAACATTACAAAGAGTAACCCATATATCTATATTTATAAGAAATCTGTCTTCCAAAGAACTCAAGACAAACATAACTCAATCTATCGATCGATGGACATGGAGACGAAGAAATCATACATGGTGGTGATTATAATACAACTCATATATGCAATCATGTTTTTGATCTCTAAAGCTGTCTTCAATGGAGGAATGAACACTTTCGTCTTCGTTTTCTATCGTCAAGCTTTTGCTACCATCTTCTTGGCTCCTCTTGCATTTTTCTTCGAACGGTATATACCTATACACTATTCTTTATATATTTGCAGATAAATGAGCATTTACAGTTATCTTTTTAAAAATAAAATATGAAGTCTCAAATTTTGTTTCCCTTTTAGGAAAAGCGCTCCACCTCTTTCATTTGTGACCTTCATCAAGATCTTCATGCTCTCATTATTTGGGTATGTCTGCGACAAGTAAATTTTAGGATTTATTTTCTTTGATTATTTGCGTTTAAAATGATTATTTCTATTTGAAGTAAAAACTCAAAAATCTATTTGCTTTTTTTCATCATCTTTTTCAAAATTGTAAACACATACAAACGCAAAGAAGAGAACACCATAGTAAAATTAATTTGATTGTTGATAACGAAAACGTTAAGTTTTCTTCTGTTTAGTAGTAAAAACTTAAAAGTAATACAGATCGTTAAAATTTAATATAATATGTGATCAGCATCTTTGAAAATTAACGCGAAATGCGAATAACTTTTTTTAAATTTTTTATTCTGCGACTTGCGTTTATTAGTGTGACATTGAGCTTGGACTTAAACGGAATCGCATTGTCGTATACGTCGGCGACTCTGGCCGCCGCCACAACAGCTTCCCTTCCGGCCATCACATTCTTCGTGGCTCTTTTTCTTGGGTATATACTTACAACATATATAAACCTTTATGTATTAATTGTGCACGTTATACATATATACATATATATATATATATATATTTGTAAACTTTCTAATGAACACCTACTTATCTTTCTATAAAATTTAAAGAATGGAGAGGCTTAAGGTTAAGAGCATACAAGGAACAGCAAAGCTTGTTGGGATAACTGTGTGCATGGGAGGGGTAATTACCTTAGCTCTTTACAAAGGCCCGTTATTGAAATTACCTTTATGCCATCACGGCCAAGTACATCATCACCGGAATGTTCACGGCCACGTCTCCGGCGGTTCCACCTCGTGGCTCAAAGGATGTGTCCTCATGGTCACCTCCAACATTTTATGGGGTCTCTGGCTCGTTTTGCAGGTACCCAATCAAATTGCTCCATATATACATTATCACATATTGTTTTGTTAACCACACGAATGAGTAATAAATCTCAAAACTTGTTGGACATTAGTATATGATTTGGTTATTTATTATTCTAATTGAATAATAAATGTGATACTTCATCTCTGATATTTTAAATCATAAATAAATACAGGGTCGTGTGTTAAAGGTTTACCCTTCGAAGCTATACTTCACAACTCTTCATTGTCTATTGAGTTCGATTCAATCCTTGGTCATCGCTATTGCATTCGAGAGAGATATTTCAGCATGGAAGCTGGGATGGAACCTACGACTCGTTGCAGTCATTTATTGCGTACGTAATTCGTTAACTCTATTACATTTCAAAGTATATTAATTCCATATATATAAATATAAACCTTAATGTATCATATATGCAGGGATTCATCGTAACAGGCGTAGCATATTATTTGCAGTCATGGGTTATAGAAAAGAGAGGACCTGTTTTCTTATCGATGTTCACTCCTTTGTCTCTCCTCTTCACTCTCCTCTCTTCAGCGGTTCTACTTTGCGAGATCATCAGTCTTGGAAGGTTCTACAATCTTCCTCAAATATCATTTTTTTTTTTCTTTCTTTATAATGCTTATAATTAATGCAATAAATTAAATTATTTGTATGTGTTTTTGTAGTATTGTAGGTGGACTATTGCTGATTATAGGACTCTACTGTGTGTTGTGGGGAAAAAGTAGAGAGGAGAAGAACTGTGGTAATGAGAACATTGATCCACAGAAAGAAAACGATGTCGTTTGCAATGAAGTGAAGGTTGTCATTAGTTGAATACTTGAATGAATGTTGCATTAAAGATGAGCTAAATTTTAGGGTTCTTATAATATTAATATATGTGACTAATCATTCACATAGTAGAGTCAATAATTTTGCTTTAATTTTTTTTTTGTCCCATGTAACTACTTTTATCATATTATAGTATACTTTTTCATAGGGTATTTTATATACTTTTCGTAGGTTTTGTTTTTAAGCAAAAAAAAAAGAAAAGAAAAAGAAATCAAATTAATTGTTACTGGCAAAGTGGCAATGTCCAATGACTAGTTTCTGGCAATGTGATTATTATAACAGTTCTATACGTCCTAACTTTTACTAAAATCGTACTTTAAATTTTCCACCAATAAATTCATAAAATCAGCAAAATTTGCCAAATTTGTCATTGTATATTTTTAGTTGTTGAATCAATCACTAAAACAGGGGAAAAAACCTATATTGATAATCTATCACATTTATAAGACCGAACTAAAACTAACAACTGTTGAATTGGCCTGTTGAATCAACTAGTAAACAGAAAAATGGAACGAGAGACGAAGATTGTCGAAGGCCCGTCTCTCGCGAAAGGAGAAGGTTTGAAAAAAGCAGTATGGGTTTGCATGAAATGATAAAGCCTAGACAGAGACGGGCCTTCAACATGAGAGGAAGCCCAAAGACAAAATATCATCATCATGATGACATCATCATCAACTTCAGCAACCGGACGATTGCGTGAGCTCACGCGTTACAACCTGAAAGCGCGTGAGGGACAAACCATGTCAACATAACTAAAACTGTTCAAAAACTTGGGGACATTCAAATACACAACTCATCCCATCAATTAAAAAGGAAAATTACAAAAAAAACAACATAGGAGATATCAAACACACAAATTAAAATTGCCTAAAAGAATATGCTAAATTCCTTCTTTTTTTTGGTGACTATTGTTTTTGAACCCATGAATTGGTAGTCTTGATTTCAAAAATATAATTTAGCTATTCCTGATTGGTAATTTTTTCGGATCTCTCTTGTAACTCATTTGTTATCTAAATCTGACAGTGTAGTAGACTCTTTGACTTGCTTCCCAAAAGACAAATCCTTTTCTCCTTCTCCTGTTTTAGGCATCACAATACCTTTGTCTTCTGTCACTTTAATGTCGTCAAGAATCTGAGCTTCAGCTTTATCAATCTTCTCTTGAGCGTGTACAAACTTTGGAACCTCTGTTTCTTCTGCAATCTTAACATTCGATGCTTCTTGATCAGTCTTAAGCTCTGATTCTATCTTAACATTCGATGTTTCTGGAGTCTTCACTTCAAAAACTTTTGGAACTTTAATCTCTAAATCCTCAGAGGAGTTAACCTCTGAAACCTTTAAAAGTTCTGACTCTGCAACTTTAATTTGGTTAGTCTTGACTTTAGAAACTTCTGGAGTATTCTTATCCTCCAAGACCTCAGGAACATTTGACTCTTTTATAACTTGGATTTCAGCAGGAATGTCAGATATTTCTGTAGCATTCTTAACTTCCAAGACCTGATCAGGAACACCTGACTCTTTTGTAACCTTAATTTCAGAGAACTCAGGAGCAGAAACCTGTGGAAGTTTAGACTCTTTTGCAACCTTAACCACTTGCGATGTTTTCTTGGCTTCCAATTCCTCTGGAAACTTAACATCCCAATTCTCTGAAAAGTTAACTTCCTTTTCTTCAGCTTCCTTAGCTTTAGGCGTATCAGGAGTCTTAACCTCGGTGCCTTCTGGAATCTTGACTTCGAGGTCATTTCGAGTCTGAACGTCAAAGGTTTCTGGAGCTTTGACATTAGAAGCCATCAGAGCAGAAGTATCAAGCTTTGAAACCTCTGAAGAAGCGCCTGTTTTGATATTGGTCTCTGGTTTTGTCGGAGTTAGATCGGTTACTTCATTTTTTACTGCCTTATCCTGTATATATAATCCTCCCATAAATCGATAGAACAAGTGAAACATAAAAAAGCAGAAATTCGTAATTAACCGGTACTATTTCGAAATGCCGATAGAAATATATGCATAAAATAATAACGACGATTTATTTTTTATATATAACAAAAAGGAGTCCTCAAAACTTAGAAGGTAAGAGAAGCTTTTGTCTTTTGATCTGTCCTTCAAAAAAGAATATTACCGTTTGGTTCATCACTAACGTTTGATATTATAAGAAAACAATTAAAGAACGAAACTCTACAATATCATAACAGACTTTATTTAGGAAACTTTATAAAGCTTAACAAGATTTTCCAAATCAAGTTTAAAAAAAAAAAAGTTTTGTTTGTTTAGAAAATAATATAAAAATCTATTACGAACTATATTTTGTTGGAAACGGTCATGAGTCATGAGCTGATGATCATATAAACACTTACATACAAACATCTGTGTTTCTATAATTTCTATTGCATTTTTTAAACGACGTAACCAGTGTAAAAACTAAACAATAAGTAAATGGTTTTTCGACTTTTGCCGAGAAAAACGATATTCGTAAATTAATGTAATTTTTTCTTTTTTGGGAAAAGTTACCTCAAGAAACAAGTGACTGAGAGATTGACGTTTGCTGTGTTCCTCCACGTCATCTTCAATCAGAATTTCTTTTCCTTTCTCGCTCCGTCGTGCCGCCGCCGCTGCCTCCTCCGCCGCGTTCGGAGCGTTGTTCTCTCTCTTTTCCGCCGGATTCTTGGGATGATCAGTCGGAGCCGTCGTCTCTCGCTCAACCGGAATCAGATCCTCGTCGGAATCTTTGAGAACCTTTGGCTTGGTGGCACAGTTTCCCATCTCGCAATTACAGAGACTTTTGTTTTTTTTTTTTTTGGTTTAGGTAATGATACAAATATTTTCTCTCTCTTAAATTTCTTTTTATCTACGGATAGATTTAGAGAGAGAGAAATGATGAAATGGAGGTGAGGGATGGTCAAAGAAGAGTTATGTCCGACAATTTCTCTGCGGACAGAGAGAGACAAAGATTTAATTATATATAGGTCTTATGGACCCTAAATATATTTATCAAAAACGACGTAATTTAATTTGTTTATATAGTAAGAAAATTATAAAGTGGTAAAGTATATAATCGAATCTTTATTTCGGTGCCTAGTCAATAAATCTTGGTACTGAATCGAGCAGTAGATATTACGTAAAAAGGGAAATAAATAACTTGTGGGATCTTATTTCCAGGTTGGCTGTTAATTATATAATTTTATTGGCATCTCGATTTGTCCGTTCGCTATTTCCGTATTAAAATGTCTTTTGAAATGGTTAAGCGAACGACTAAGCTCCTACTTAAAGCTATATTAGAAATAGCAGAGTTGCTTACTAAGCTCCTACTTGATGAAAAATCATTTGTCATTTGTCAATGCTTAATGACTAAGATCTTCTAATTAAGAAAAGTAATCTTCTAATTCCAATGCCGATGGCCCTATAGGTATTTGCGTTCGCGATTTCTTAAGATCATTGGTTTAAAATTCGTTTAATGGAGGGAAAAATGAATGCCCATTATAAGTTGATCTTAGTGTAATGATAAAAATTCAGACCCGAAAAAGAAAGATTGAAAGAGCCCATAACTGCGGTTGTTTAATGTGATCCAAATTGATTGGTTCGCCGGTTCATTCCGGTTCAAATTAATTGGGCCGTGCACTCTTCTTCGTCGTCGCACCCTTTCTTCACATCATCTCGGCGATTGGTTAATTCCGTTTTCCAGAGAGGAAATCAACCTGAAAGCCCATTTGCGTTCCGTTTCATTCAGCTCTCCGATTCTTGAATTATCATGGTTAGCTACTAGCTAGGAACTTGTTTTTAATCAAAATCATCATTTTCTGGTGAAATATCCTGACATTTTTTTAAAATATTGTGAAAAATTAACTTGAAAGTTTGGATTTTTAAACATAAATATCAATGTGTATACACACACTCATTAACTTCTATTTTTTTGCCTTTTCCTGGTTTTTTTTTTTGTGCCTTTTTTGTCATTTTTGGGCTTGTGATGTGTTTATGGATAGTATCAAATATCATAAAGTTATGAAGAAGAGAATATATTCGGCTCACCTATTTGGAATCATTATAGCACACAAGGACTTAATCAAAGACAGCTTTTACAAATTTATCGCTACACAAAGCTTAATAGAGAGAGATGGGTGTGACAAAGGAACAAGTGGAAGCTTCGTTGACTTCAAAACTCAACCCTGTTCATTTGGTAAGTCCATTGATCCTTACCTGCAACTTTATTCTGTTCACGGTTACTGAATCCCGTTCACAAGCAAAAAGAAATTTAGTACTTTGATCGATCACACGTGCATCATCTGTTCTTACTTCTTCGTTATAGGAAGAAGACGGAGTCGCAGATAATGATAAAATTTGAAATATTTGAACCGGTCTGTTGATGAACAACAAAAAATTACTTGGATCATACTCACGTAGCTTTAAGACAATCTTTAGATTTACATTGTTCTGTGATTGGATCATATTCACTTTAGTGAGGTTTGTGTGAATTAGAACCAAATAAGTTTTTTGCTTCAAGTGATAATTGAAGTTTTTTTGCTCTGTATACACATCACTGACTCGATTTTTTTTTTGTCTATGTAAAACCAGGAAGTCATTGACACATCTGGAGGGTAAACCATGATAAACCCATCAAATTCATTCTTTCTTTTTAATTTGGCATTTATTGTCCATATTCTCAATCTTAAAACCTAGCCTTTTTCTCTTTTCTTTTTAGCTGCGGTGCGAGTTTTGCTGTTGAGATTGTCTCGGAAGAGTTTGAAGGGAAGAGATTGCTTGAGAGGCACCGCATTGTGAACGCTGCTCTTGAAGAAGAGATGAAAGAAATACATGCTCTCTCTATAAAGAAAGCTCAGACTCCACAGCAATGGAAGCCTACTTCACAAGACTCTGCAACAATAACTCCTACCACAGATGCTTGAAGACAAAAGAACAAACAAACCATAGCTTTCTTTTACTAAGAATAAAAAGCTACTGACTTTGACATTGTCACAAGGTAGCTAAAAAAAAAGCTTTGTAACTTTATAAGTTATGAATTCGAATACAATACTGGTTGCTTATCGTCTACTACATAATCGGAATCCAACATCTTAACCATCAAACAAAACTCTCTTATAAAGAACAAAAACGAATATCTTTACTTCTCAGTCTTCACTTTCTTCTTGGACTTCCCCGATCGATCTGAAGAGCCTGAAGCCGTAGTTGTGGGGGCATAATGTTTTCCTGAGGAGGACTCTGTACGCTTTCTTTTTGGATTCATGCTCTTCTGTCTGCTGCTATGTGTGGAAGCTGCTCGAAGAGCTGACTGTCCGCTTTTACGAAGGCTACTTCGAGCTGGGTTAGAGTATTTTCCAGAGGAGTTCGTCACTGCTCCTAAAAGCTTCTGTTGGGCTTTGGCCTTCGTTGTCTCGAGCAGCTCCTTTGCTTCAGGGTAACGAACTAACGACACACGCCGGGAAATCTTCCCAACTGCCATAAAAACCCAAAAACAAAAGCATAAGAGTTATCGAAGAAATGGGCAAGACTGCGTAACCGAACACGGTTAAGACCTTAGACCAGACTCTGTGTGAGTTACTTCAGAAGTAATGGAAATGTACCGATTTTCGATCCCTCTCCAGAAGGTATAATCACAGTTGCATCAGCGTCTTGAGAAGCAAAGCTAACGAGGTCAACATCTATACCTATCAAATGCAGAGGATGGTAAACAAAAGGCAATGAGCAAACTTTGGAGATCAAAAATAAAACATTCGAGAATGAAAGAACACGAACTAACTGAACGAAAACCATAAACTTACCAGATGAATCCTCGAATCCACCCAATACTCCATCTTTATCTAGCTTAACCTTAAGCTCCTTCCCGTCGATTTCCGGAATCTGAAAAGAACAAAATCCCTTTAGTTGCAGAACATTTCGTCAGGATCAACTGCTTTTACTAGACTTTAGTGAGCATCTTCAATCGAATTTAGCAAAGAGGAATTCACATCGATAAATATTCATTCTCCAAGCATACATGACTCATAGGGCACTGGATAAGCCAAAGCTCCTTCGATCCCATCACATCAAAGTCATCAAGCGACTTTAAGTTATTAACTACGAAATCTTCTGAAGGTTTGTAATCCAATGCCATCTCTGCTCAAAGTCTCAGCTCTCACAATTTCACAACCCTGCAAAATCGAAAAAAAGGTTTCTTCAAGGAGAGCCTTAATATATAATTAACAAAAAGCTCTGAACATAAGAGAACTCAATCCTACACGATTAAAATCGTAATTACAAAAGAAAATAAAAGATATTTACGGAAAAATCGAAAAGAGAACGCAACTGCAACAGAGAAAACAAGGATTTTTACCTGAGAATTAAGGGCTGCTTCGTCGACGGCGAAAAAGAGGGAGAGGGGTTGCCGGGGAAACTTTGATTTGACGATGACCTAAAACCTTTTCCAATTTTATCATTTTTATCTGTGTTTTCTTGTAAGATTTTCAAAAACGACATGGTTTTGTGTCAATTGCTGGGAAAAAGAAATTTAGTTTGGGCTGAGGGATGTAAATGGGCCTTTGAATAATAAGAAGCCCAATTGTGAAAGCAACCTCAGGTCCTGAACTACAGCAAATTATGATTCAGTGAAGCGCTCAACTGAAAAGGTCTGATAAACCCTAAATCCCCAAAATGGAATAGTAAAACTTTCCAGAAGATCTCAAGTCGAAATCCGCAAACGAAGAAATGATTAGAAGAAGAATCTCGTCGATCATTTCAACATCATTCATCAATTCTTCGATTCATCATACCGCCAAACCCAGATTCATCTCTTCCCCACTTCTTCAATGCCGTCGTTCTCCGATCCTTACTCAAATTCCTCCTACCTCGGCGAGTAGAGTTTCTTCGTTTCAGGGAATTAGGGCTTACAGTTTATTGAGCTTGAACGATCTGAGAGATAATGTGCCCAGAAAACTCAGGACGAGGAAAGGAAGAGGTATTGGGTCTGGTAAAGGTAAAACTGCGGGAAGAGGTCACAAGGGGCAAAAAGCGAGGGGGACGATGAAGTTTGGTTTCGAAGGTGGGCAGACTCCATTACGACGCCGTTTACCCAAGCGTGGCTTCAAAAACAAATTTAAGCTCCATTTTCAGGTAAAAAGCTCGTGCCTTTCGCTTCTCGGATTTGTTTCGGTGGTCAAAATAACTCCTTGGATTGTCAAAAAAATTCTGATTATGTTGCTTCAGAGGATTGAATATGACAAGAGTGTGGTGGGTTCATTAGATGACAGAATATGAGAATCTAAACCTGATCAAATGGGTCACGCTTTTTCTTCTTTCTGAAGACGTTTATTTCCTGTGGTGAAGTAGTTGATTCTGTGTCTAAGAATTTCGAATTCAGATTTCGATTTTGATGCTCTATCGATGTGTGATGCAGCCGGTTGGTCTAGGAAAGATCGCTAAACTCATAAACGCTGGGGAGATAGATTCTCATGAGTTGATCACAATGAAAACTCTCAAGGTATGGTTATACTCTTCACTCTTTTAAGTTCACTGATTTAAATCGAGTTCATGATTCTCCATGTCTTTGCTTTTAGCTAATCCATTAACAACGGTCTGCAGGATGTCGGAGCCATAGGTAAGCAAATAGAAGACGGAGTAAGACTAATGGGTCGTGGTGCTGATGAGATCAAATGGCCACTTCATTTCGAGGTTGGTTGTCATTTGAATTATGAGCTTGTGCTCTATTATAGACTTATAGCTCCAAGTCAATTCGCTAGTTTAAACGGGGAATGGCATGTTTTTATTACAGGTTTCGAGAGTGACGGTTAGGGCCAAAGAGGTGGTAGAAGCAGCAGGAGGATCAGTGAGAAGAGTGTATTACAACAAACTGGGCTTAAAGGCATTGCTTAAACCGGAATGGTTTGAGAAGAAAGGAAGGTTATTGCCAAAAGCAGCGAGACCGCCTCCTAAACAACAAGATAAGGTTGATAGCATCGGACGTCTTCCCGCTCCGAAGAAACCTATTCCGTTTTTTGCAGCTGAGGAGAACAAAGCTGAGTCTCCTCTTGAATCGTGATTTTTGGGTTGGCTTTTAACATCCAGCGTTTCGATTTGAAGTTGTGGTGTTTTGTTGTTTCTTGGTCATGTTCTTGCGAGGAAAATTTACAATGTTGGATTTTTATTTGACCAATAAGTTCGTTCTCGTTTAATTTTTTTTTTTTTGTATTTTGTCACAATATATTTTAAGGGTAATTTTAAAAATCAAAATAACTTTAAAGTATCATTTGAATATCAAAATAAAGTATAAGTTAGCAGAATAATATGATATGTGGATAACAGAACACAAACTGTATACGATAAAGCTATAGAAATGAAATTTTAAATTTATAATAGCTGGTTACTGACTGTAACTTTAACAAATCAACTATCAACGGAACAGAGGATAATTATTGCCGAATAGCAGGAGTAATAATTGATAGAGATTGTGTAGTAATATCCTGAAAAGATAATATTCGAAACAAGGAAAGAATAGTTGATCGAAATGGTTTGCATCAATGTAAATAGTGTTAGATGCAGGGCTAAGTAATTATATATCTGAAGACGTTTTCTTGAACTGGCAGTGTTTAATTATTGGATACCGCCGTCCAACCTAAATTATAGAGAAAATGGGCCATGATTGCCTGATTTTAAACGACAGAACGTGTAAAAGAGGATGGGTTTTTAGTGGTTTCAGAACTCATGACTCTTAACAAATCTGTAATGATGATGACTACATTGTTAACTATCGGCTATAGTCTATAGCATTGATTATGAATTGGCAAATAGATATGAAAACGTGATGACAAAAAAAAACGAATCTAACATTACTCTTTGGGATTAAATAGATTTCTAATTTTAATAAAACAATTTTCCCTTACTTTTTTTAAAAAAAAATTAACAACATGCATTATATAGTATATGTCTATAGTGATAACAGTGATAACACAACAACAATACTAGGCTATAAATTATATTTCTTCTCCATTTTTTCCAAATGTGAATTTTTAGGTAGTTAGATGCACAAGAAAAAAAAAAGACAGTTCAACCTTTTATTTCCTACTCAAGTTGGTCGTAACAACAAGAGCAACTGAACAAGTGTATGAAGATCGGCTTTTACACTTCGATACGTGCATTATGAATTCGAGTTATCCAAAACAAAATTACAAATTCATAATATGTCTTGCCTTGACTTGTCGACGTGAATCAAACAAAAAAAAACATAATTTTTTGGCATCACAACGAAAAAAAACAACATTTACACCAGCTAATTTTTTTTTTTAAAATAAGAAAGGGTAAAGGAGGAAGACCAAATAAATAGAGAGAAGACTAATTAATAGAAAGAAAAAAAATAATGAGTTATGACCTTTATGCTTTTTCACGGGGAAGATCCATGCCAACTAAGTAAACCGATATCATTGTGTTTTCTAGAGGGACCAGAAGCTGGAACTGGGAAGTGACGTGGCAAGAATCCCAAGAACTGTCGAGATGAAGACGAAACGACATCATTTTCTTGCTTGTGTGGTTTCGAGTTGAAGACATTCGTACTTGTTCTTGCTCCGTTGCAGGAGCCAAGAAGAATAAGGAGCAGAAGAAGATTGGTTTTCGTGAAGAGGAAGAAGAATATAGAGTGGATTCTTGATCTGCGGATTCGAGACGCCATTGTTGATGAGAGAGGTTTCTTGTGGAAGGGTTTTTTTTGGTGATTTTTTTTTAATCTTGTGATAGGACTTTGGTTTTGTTTGTTGTTGATGGGAAAAAGGAGATTGGTGAATGAATTTGTTGACAGCAAGAATTATGGGCAGATAGAGATTGAGAGAGAGAGGGAGAAAATCTGACTAAGAGGTTTATGTGTATTTAATCAGTTCTGCCAATTAATTTCAAAAACTTCTTTTTGAATAAATCACGAACCATACAAGTAGTTGTAGACTTGTTGTCAAGTACTTTTGGTCTACACGCCGAAGTACTGTTTAGTGTTAGGTTTTTTTTAGACAATAATTGTAATTATTTTAGGTTTAATTTAAATTTTGTTTTATGTTGTTACAATGAAAGAAAAAAATATATACAATATTAAAATATTTATGATATTTGTGATTTTACTGAGACTCTATTAAGGCTTTAAAACATGATCGACTGTCAAAATTATGCAAGAAGGAAACCCTTTCTCAAGAAAAAAATATGCAAGACAATAAACGTCAATTTTTATCTGATCATTTTGCATACTCTTAGTCATAAACAAAATATAGCAGTAGTAAATAAACAAGCAATGACACAATGCTCAAAATAAAGAGAGTAAATTGCATACAAATGGTTGTAGACTAATTGTTAAGTAGTTGGGGTTTAAAGCTGCTGCGTTTAGGTCAAGGTGTCCCTATAATCATCCGAATTTATGACTAATTTAAATTTTAGCTTAAAAATACTGTATAAAAAGTAAGAGCAAATTTGTGAAAATGGTTGGAAACGAATGTTTGTTTCCTGAAGATGAGGAATTTTTTTAATGAAAACTGTGAAAGTAGATCTTTTTGTATCCTCCAAATTCGTCTTTCGCTATTAATTATGCGAAAATTATTCAAATAATGAGACATCCCAATAGTTTCCTTTTTACTTAATTACGGTAAGGTTATTAACTGTTATAATAATATGTGTCCAAATAATCATATCTAATGGAATTGAAGTGACGTTTGTACGGCACACCAATGTCTTTTTCTATTGTGAGCAGTTGCTTCTGATATATTCTGCATAAGTTTTTTTATCTTTCGACAAAAGTAACATTGTAAATTTTTTTAGGTCATAGATTTTTGGCGGATTATATCGTAACTCTTCTTAAACAAGATTTACATTAGTGATTTCCAACATTTTGTTCCATGATATTTTAAAAATCGCATTCCGAAAGATTTTCGTTTATATAATTTTAAAATATCAATACTTTTATTTTCTTTATATATAGTTTTAAGTATATGTTTGACAGAACAAAATTATAACAAAGAAATCTAGATTCATTCGTTGCTAGAAATGGCTTTTTATTTTAAAATTTCTACAAATAACTTAATATATTCAAATACAATGTAAGGTTTCATCACCTATGTTCAATGAAACAGAAAGAACGGAGAGAGTGGGCAAAGATAAAATAATAATATAAAGTGATATGGCAAGGTAAGGCCATTTATATGTTATGTCAAGACTCAAAGCTTTATATTATTTCAAATTATATTAAATGTATAGTTCTTTTGGTTAGTGAGAATATGATAGGCCCCAGTCTAAATATAGTGACCGATAATAATTATGTCACAACATAGCAACTATTCAAACTTTATTGCAAAATCTTCCTCAATATAAGCTACTTGAAATGCATATATTTTACTATATTTTGAATAGACACACGTATGTGTACAGTGCATATATCAATCACCGTTCTTGCTATTTCAATCTCTTATTTAAATCATGTCAATAGAGTTAGGGTTCTTCTATTCAATGCAACGTTTTCTCACACTTACACGGTTTTATTAAATTGTTTTTTCCATTATTCACCCTTGTAAAAAGAGAACTGGATAATATTGTGACGCTAGTAAGAAAGATTAGTGGGTTATAAGTAAAACTATCTTATCTTGTTGCTTTAACACACTTACCACTCTAATTACTTATTTGAGTTATTTTGTATGATATAAAGAAAGAAAACGAATTCAACGAGTATGGAGCGAAACTACCATATTGTCCCTATCTATGAGAAGGAGTAGAAGAACAGAAAGTAAACTAAAATAGAAGAGTCGTAGTAATGTCAGTAACAACAGTTGAAATCCATAGTTGGTCTAAGTCCCATACCTTTCTTTACTATTTCAAACACTGACTACGTCTTAGCTACTCCTTTACAAATCTAGCAATCGTACTTCTCCATTATTATTTCGGTTTTTCAAATAAATTAAAGTCCTACACGAAAGTGACTGACAATTCTAGCTAATCCCTAGATTGGTTCTACAGGTCTCAAGTGAAGTATAGTTATGGACCATTGATTAATAAAATGTAGTATCGTATATATGTATGATATCAGCTATATATACTAATGGAAATTGTGTGTGCTTTGTCACTTAATTATATACTGCTTTGCCACATAACTTATATACTGTATAGGACTGATTAATTAGTATCACATTGGCCGTTTTTGTTTTGGGATTAATATATACACAAGACGCATCACCATTTGCATAAAGTCTTAATTTTGTGAGTCCAAGCGTTAAAATAGATTTCGATGGTGTGGTGAGCAAGAAGAAAAAAGACGTTTTGCGCATAGCCTGTTATTCGAACCGATAAAACCAATTTAAACAAATTGTTCTTAATCATAAAACCGGCTCGTCGCGTATCCAATTTATGACCTTAAAAATTAGTTTTGTTCATAACACACGTACGAGCGATCATGCTTGTGTGCGAGAAGATTTGATACCTGTGAGGAAATCAACGTTAGGTACTTGACTACGCGTATAGTGTTTGGAACGGTCGGGGTAAAGGTTGTGCGTGGTATGACGCATGAGTCGAATCACAAATCACGCGACTCATGAATCGTGAGTCAAGGATATACATTGAAAGTGAGCCATTCACCTGATCATGTCGCACCCCGATATCGTTTTTGAGGTTAGTTGGCATATAATACAACTCATCATCCATATATTTCTGATTATATATTATATCGAGAGACTCGAGTATACTAATTAATTTCCAAATATGATATTTATACAATTTATAATATCTTTGTATTAAGTTAAAAGTATGTACTGATCAATAGTTGGTCATAAATAAAATTTCGTTTCACCAAAATGGAATAAAATAAAATAAAATTTTGTAAGCTACACAAAATCGACAGTACTACAAAAGCATAAAATAGGTAGATAAATAGCCAAATGACCAAAATAATTTGCAATGAAAAAATTTGACTAGAATATAGTGTTGCCGTTAATTTTAAGAAGTTTTACTGCCACAAATAGGATGGTTATATTTTGATATTTTGATTTGATCATAAGTTGACATATATTTGAAGGAACAAGTGAATTAATAAGTTGAATCATGTATATTTGTGGGTGGAACTAACAAGTTCGTTAGCTACCTTTTGATTTACCGATGAATTAATGTTAGTCTTTTTCATAAATCGATTGCAGTTTATATATTCGACCATTTAATTTCGGTGCATCCACATCATTTACATGTCCATTTTCTACTACACGTGAACATTTACTTATTCGTGAAAAACTATTTACTACTCCGGTATACCGGTAAAAAATCATTTTTTTTTTCTTTGTCGCATAACACTACAGATTTATTTCATAAAACAATAAATATGCTTGGTTTGACTTTGACCACTGAGTCTATAGTAGAAAACTGATCGCGCACGTGCTATGGTTTCGCCTCTTTTCTGTCTTCTCGCAAACTTAAGTTGTCGTCAAATCTAATCTTAATAAGGACCACAAGGCTTTTTAGACGTCATGTTTGTGTTATCAAGAAACCAAAAACGGCACGAAATTTTTCTCTGGCCTCCGATAATGAAATGCTGCAAATAGCGCCTAGTAGGCTAGTACTATTATTCTACCCGTTTAATAATGGTTCGATTCAATTTATCAAACATTTATTTATTATATAAACTGCATCTATGCATGTTTATATAATTTAATAAACGAAACAAAAAATCAGATCACTTGTAAAAAATATGTAAAATTATTTATTTTGATTTCCTATTTTTGATTATTTAGCTTTCAGTTAATATTTATAATATATTTTCAAATATTTAGATTATCTTATTCTTCGTTGAATTATATTTAATTTTTATTTAGTTATTTTATATATTCATAGTTCTAACATTTTGACAAATAAATTATCTTGATATTTTCATTAATTATACTTTTCATCATGGGCTATGCTAAATTATAGGCTAAGAGGCCCATTGAGAAAAGCTACCGAAGCCCGTACGTTCCACTTCCAGAGATTACTTATTTATTTGTAATTCTACTTGTTAACCAAAAGTTTGTTACCTTAAATTACTTTTTATTTGTGGTCACTTTAGATTACTTTATTTCATTCAATTAAACTGTATCAAATGATTAAAAAGCTTCACTTATTTAGGTAAATGATTAAATGGAAAAGTGGAGATTAATGATAGTGAATTCTTATCACATTTTTATCAAATTAATTTTCGTATGTAAGTCATGTCTATTAAAAAAATGTGTGATTAGCTATGATAGCATGCATATAATTTAATTAAAAAATACAGAATACAGCACGTCAAACGTTAATGATATAATATTATTTTTATCCTACTCTATGATTAAATAGTATGTCATGTGCACAAATAAGAATGTTATGTTTTTAAAATTTGCGCAATCCTTTGCCGCTGTAAAAAAAAAATTATGTCAAAAAAATGTATTTTCATCAAACCCAGTTAAGAGACTGTTAATAAGAGTCTTTACGAAAAAAAAAAGAGGGGCCGTGCTCTTATAAACTATTTAATTATACTGACCAACTATGGGTAGTGAATAAAACCGTTACTAGTAGACGAATAATAGTATATATTAAACATGACCGTAGACTTTGACTTTAAGGTAAAGCATCGTGATTATTATCCAAATTTGACTGTCGAAGTTATCATCTTACAAACATCTTCATTTCTAGTGGTATTCAAATTCATAGTTCATATTTATTTTATATCTGATAGAAAATAGAGCAGAATATAAATTACAAAAAGGAAAAACATATATTATCAAAGTATTCCGCAACCAATTGTTCAAATTTGATGAAGATGATCAAGAATCCGACAGAGTCGCAGACTGACCTGCATTTATTTTAGAACTGCATTTACATTTTAGAACTAAACTTTTTTCATGTCATCAGAGCGTTATTTATTAAATTTAGTTTATCTTCTATTTCACGAGTATCGAATGTTCAATATCGACTCTCTTACAAAAAAAGCTCTAACATAAAGTTTTTATTTTCCCATATAAGTTACACTCTTAAGAGATAATAGCCTTTAAAGGATAATAGCCTTGTCAGCCAAATTTGAAAAATAGATAGTTGACAAAAACACCAAGGGTGTGAGCGTTACATGCGCGTTTGGCCAGCAATTGTAGTCCAATAGTTAGAACTCAAATTTAGAAAAAGTTCCATGGAATTTTATGTCTGGTGTGTGACGTTCATGTATACCCAACAGAAACTTGAACGTGCGGGACGTAAGTGTTTGAAACAACCACAACACGCAGCCTCTCACGTACAAACAATTAGTTTAGGAGTCAAACTTGAACAAAAAAACTTAGAATGGTAAATCACGGTTCCACACTTCCACGCTATTTAGTGATCAATTAGTGATGATGATCATTATTTAACTTTGACTTCAGCATGATACACCACGAGTTTAGGTTAGACTTGTAAAACACAATTATATACCGCAAATAGATAGGAAAGCAATTGGATTTAAAAGGATAGTGTGTCTGAATTCTTTTACAGATGCTCATGGATCTAAAGGAAGCTGAAAACAACATTTTAGCCCCTCCTTTTTGGTGAATATTATAATTCTTTATTATTTTCATTCTGTTTTTTTTCTTCTTGTTTTATTTTAAATTATTGCATACCAAAAGTAAATTTCAAAAGAAATCCTTTTTAAAGTTGAACTATTAATATTTCATTGTAGGTAATTTGTTAGCTCACTAACCCGATAATAAAAAATAGCTTTAAGCTGGAAAGTTTGTGTAAATCGACTTTAAACGAGTTGCTTGTCACAAACTCGCAGTTGAATAGTCCAAAATATTATTTTTATTTTGCGAGAATAATCTACGAGATTTACGGTTAAAATCTCTAACCATTATTCAACAGCAAAAAATCTATAGTAATTTATGAGACATCAACTACACTAATCTATCAAAATTATATAAATACATCTATTTTATTGGACGAAGAAGATAATGATTTTACAATAGAAATCAAGGTTGGTTACAAATCATGATACTTAACTTGTAATGAACATAAATAGACAAGTCTAACATAAGTATCGACGGGGGTTCTCGAGAATAAAGGTAATGGCCACGTCATGTATTGCTAGTTGCGGACATAAAACAAACAGAAGTGGAGGAGCAACAACAGATGCAATGTAGCCCATAGAATCTGTCCGGTCAATTGAACAAATTGTTGATATATTCTTTCTTTATTTTTCTCTTCTTTTGTGTAATATTTTTTCATTCGTTTCTTATAAGATATTATTTGGTTTATGCCTATGGTTTTAACTTTCAAGATTTACAGAAGCATACATGAATAATTAATATAAACTAATCGAATAGTAGTTTCTCTTTTTGTTTATACGATCTTTTCTTTCATTTGTTAATAGATATTACTGTTCGATTGTGTCGTCATTTTTTTCAAGTTTACAGAACAGCAGAACCATACATAATCTGAATAATATATTATCACTAATGTTACTGTTACCCAAAAAAAGCGTGCTTGTTATTTCAGTAGCTGTGATATTTCTAGAATTAGTAGTACATTTATACACAGAACTCAGAAGAGGTTAGTAGTAACTATATCTAGAAAACTACTATGATTACTTAGTTTAACTAAAAATATTATTTGGATCAATGACAAACGATGTTTATTTGGCAAAAATAGGACAGCAATCGTTGAGCATTTATTTATATATCGACGTGTTTTATATCTTATGCATTTTTCAATGTGAGAGAAAATGTGGACGTAAGACTCAATTAAGAGAAATTATAGAAAATGCCGGAATGAGAAAGGGTTATAAAAATAATACTCCTTCAAACGTGCAATCTCACACCCCAATCTGGTGCGGTCTAAGACGTAAGTGGACCCAATGCTCAAACGGTGGAGCATGGACCCCACACTCCTCTTATATATTGCATTCACTTTCCGCAAATCCTCACCGTCTGTTTCCCACACGTTAGATTTTAAAATCCATATCTATGGCTGCGATGTAACCCAGTATAACGCGCCGAAAGACTTCTTTGACCAGCGACCAACAGTAAAATACTACTATACAAAACCAGTTTTTTCTTTTGATGTTTATGATAAACTAAAATGTAGTTAAACCATATATTTTGAATAACGAATATATAAATATTTTCAACTTTGGAGTGTGCTTAAATTTATTCTAATTTTGTAGTATAGTTTATTTATAATAGCATAAAGAGAAAAAAAGTTATTCGATTTACGTTAAAAGAAAAAGTTATTCGATTTAGTCATTAAAATAATATTAAAAGATATTTATTACTAAACGTCCGTCAAAAAAGTGAAATTTGACATCAGCAAAGTTTGACTCTTTTTTTCTCTTTCATCTTTTAAACCAAACCCCACGCACTCTATCTCTCTCTTAAACATAAAAAACAGAGTCTCTCTCTCTGACGGAATCCCACACGCTTTCTCTGGAGCAAAACGGGAAAAACAACGGCCGAGCAAAATGAGGAAAGATGATCTCTACATCACCGTCCCTACTTTCTTCCGATGTCCTATATCTCTCGACGTTATGAAATCTCCGGTGAGTCTTTGCACTGGCGTTACATACGACCGTGCTAGCATCCAACGGTGGCTCGACGGCGGGAATAACACTTGTCCGGCGACGATGCAGATTCTTCAGAACAAGGATTTTATACCCAATCGTACTCTTCAGCGTCTCATTGAGATTTGGTCCGATTCTGTCCGTCGCCGGACAAGTGTTGAATCGGCGGAATTAGCTGCTCCGACGAGGGACGAGATCTCCGATGCGATCGATAGAGTGAAGATCGAGAAGGAAGAGAGATACGACCGCGAGATTTTATCTAAGATTCTCCGATTCGCGAGAGAATCCGATGATAACAGGGGATTTCTCGCCGGAAAAGATGATTTCGTGCGACTTCTCGTGGATCTCATGGGCCAGGTAGATTTCAAAACTACATCCACCCCTAAACTACTGGTGGTTCAAGAGGCGGTTAAGATTCTGAGCATGATTCGAACCAAAATCTCTGATCGGAGACGGTTTTCGAATCTGATTTTAAACAACGGTCGAGATCGTTTGACGGCAATTGTCTTCTTGTTTAAAACCGGAAATGTCGAATTGAAAGTTGACTGCGCCGGTTTACTGGAATTCATCGCCGTCGACGCCGAATCAAAGCTTCTAATCGCCGAGAGAGACGGATTGGTCACCGAGCTAATGAAATCGATTAGCAGAGAATCCGATCCGAGCTTAATTGAATCGAGCTTATCCTGCTTGGTCGCAATTAGTTCACCGAAGCGCGTGAAACTCAATCTACTCCGAGAGAAACTCATAAAGGATCTCACGAAATTGTTAACAGATCCAACGAGCGTTTCGGTGACGGAGAAATGCTTAAAGCTTCTTGAGATTTTAGCATCCACAAAGGAAGGCAGATCGGAAATCTGCGGCGGAGACGGCGAGTGCCTGAAGACGGTTGTTAAGAAGCTGATGAAAGTATCGACGTCAGCGACGGAGCACGCCGTTACGGTGCTTTGGAGCGTCTCTTATCTTTTCAAGGAAGAGAAGGCGCTTGAAGCGGTTACGAGTACTAACGGCGTTACGAAGATTCTGTTACTGTTACAGAGCAATTGCTCTCCCGCCGTTAGGCGCATGTTAACGGATCTTCTTAAGGTCTTCAAGGTGAATTCAAGATCCTGCCTTTCAGCTTACGACACCAAAACGACACATATCATGCCGTTTTAATTCAATTCTTTTACTCACTAGGGGTTCTTAGGATTTCATTTCGTGACAGAATATTATTGAGAGAGAAGAGGACAAACAAAAAAAAGCAAGAAATTGTAAACAAATTGAAATTTTGAACAGTGAATATAACCTAAAAAAGAAGATTCAATTCATTGGTTATTGAATGTGTAGTCTATAATTCTCTTATTAATAATGTAAAGTAATATCAAATAATGATGTTCTTGAATTTTCCAATCATATTGTTCGTATCATTGATATGAAATTGCTTTATTCTAAAGACGAATTTTAATACATATTCTGTTGGAAATAGGTCCAAAATTGTCAAAAAGATGAATACGTCATATAGTTCCCATCGACCCACAATTTGTAACGATGTTACATGTGATTTCAATTTCAGTCTTTAGAAGATTCGGATACATCACACACGACATAGACATAAGCCTTATACAAGTCCTAATCATCTTTATCTTTTGTGATATAAATTTATGCGTTCGAGTCCATATAAAAGCTCAAAATAATATACTTACTGTCGTCTCCAGTGAAATTTTTTAATTTTGGTTTCTTCGTCGAAATTTTTACTATACCATCATCTCAAGGGAGACTTCTAGAGACTACACGAATATATGTATTTGACTATTAGTTGTATGATATAAGATATTGTAGATAAGTTTAAAACCTGGGGTGGTCTCGGCCTCTCGAGGAACCCATGAATGAGCTGGCTCCGGACCACTTTTATTGAATTTGAATAATAAACTATATGTTGCTTTTTTCAATGTTGACTATATATACGTCAAAACTCAAAACTAATCCTTTTTTATTTTCTTAAGTGTTGCTATTTTTGACTACATATGATTCTTAAAAGATACTACATATTAACTATCAACGAATCCAACATTAACCTGGCCGTCTGACTCATAATTCGAATGAGACCAGAGTCGACAAACCGCCCACAAAGTATGAAAATTTGGGATCTGTAGTTTATTCTTTGGATTTGTTTTATTCCATTACTAAAGTCTTTACAATCGACCGTTTAAAGACTTTTGTAATTAAAGGTGGTAATAAAAGATAACACTAACTTTTTGCTTAGATTGTTAGACTGAAACACGGTACGATTAAAATTGCGGTTTGACTGAAGCAATATTATTTGGTGATAGTTTACAATATTTTTGTTATAACAAAAAGGTAGTTTTAATAAAAATAAATTAGCAAATGAAACTGTATGTAAATTATTCTTGCAATATATTGAGCGGAATTCAGAACAATATTTCAGAGACCATTTCACTATTAGTTGTCTTATATACCTTTGGAAATGAATTGCATAGTTTACTTCTCATGAGAAGTTAGTTGCTCACCACAATTCATGACATTTGATCTGGCATAATGAATACTATACAATCGAAAAAAAAAATTATTGTTGCTTTTTGTAAAATACTTATCGATTACTGAAGTCGACATTTCAAAGCTGGTACCATCCGAAACATTAATTTTACATGGATCAGATTGTCTCTACTCAGAATCTCTTGGACAAAATCGTTTATAGCATAAACTTTTAGACTTGAACAATCGGCTTATTATTCTATTGGGCTCAAAATTAAAAAGCCTGGGCCCTTAGTTAAGGATCCACACACAAGCTGGGTTTATCGTTCACCATCGTAGGATTCCTCTTCTTCTTCTTCTTCTTCCCAGTCGAATTCTCCGATCGCTTCGCCGGCGCAGAAATGACGAAGTTCAGGAAGCTCGGCCGGCACACGGGTCATCGTATGTCCATGCTCAGGTTTCTTTTTCTTCTTCTTCATCCTAATCTTTCATTGTAGAATATTCCAAAACCGTTCCTCTTGTTATTTCGTACATTTCTTAAGATTTCTCTAGATTAATTTTGAGTGTGGTTTTTTATCCTCATCCAAATATAATCAGGACTCTGGTTTCTCAGTTGGTGAAACACGAGCGAATCGAGACCACTCTCACAAAGGTGCTAATTCCTCCCCCCCCCCCCCCCCCCAATTTGTTTATGATCTGGGGTTTAGGTAAGGGCTTATAATCTTCTAGCGAGAATCTGTAATCTTACTTATATTTAAAAAATTGTCCTTAAAATGTTTGTCATTACTTACATTTGGGTATTTAATTTACACAAATTTGGATTTTGCAGGCTAAAGAGGTATCGATTCGTGTTTTTTTTTTGTTTCCAACAAGTTTATGAAAGTGGCAATACAATCCAATTGGAAAATGTAACTGTGCTCTAGAGTGTTCACAAATCGTGGTTTTAAGCTCAGAAAGTGTTTTTTTTTTTTTTGCTTCAACGGGATGAGAGTATTTGGTTGTTGTGATAGTCGTTTGATGAAATGATTGATGACAGGGATCACTCGATGCAGCAAGGCGAGCTGCTGGGTTTGTTAGAGGAGATGATGTAATTCACAAGCTTTTCACAGAGTTGGCTCATCGATACAAGTGAGTACTCTGTTTTCTTTCTATTTTTTTTTGTATTTTCTCCTTAAAGTACTCTGTTTTCATCGGCTGTTCCTTATGTGTTAACAGAGATCGAGCTGGCGGATACACAAGAATGCTTCGCACTCACATACGAGTTGGTGATGCTGCACCAATGGCCTTTATCGAGTTAAACAAATTTTCTTTTCCTTTTCTTTTCTTTATGGTTTCATTCTGCCTACACCTTCCCGCAGAATCACATTGAATTCGAGTCTTCTTTAGTTGCATTGACGAAAAAAAAAGACTTATTTTGATATTCGCATCTACATAGGTGATATATACTATTGTGTTAGTATTGGACCGGTACTCAGATTCTTAGTTTGGAAACTTCCCATTGTGAGCTAATTTGTCATACTATTCTTTGCAGGTTTATCGATAGAGAGAACGAGCTAAGGCAATCAAAACCAGCAACACCACAACCGCCACCTCAACTTCCTCTTGACCCATGGGCTAGATCCCGTCACACCAGGCAATACGCACCACCAAAGGAAGAAACAAGTTCTATTTCCGAACTATAAATATTTTAATATCTCTTTGTGTCTCCCCACACAAAAAGATAATGTTTTTTTCCTACCCCATGTTGTCTCCTTCAAACCCATAGCTTTGTGTGTCACCTTATTCATCACACTTATCATTCATCATACCATGTTTGTCAAATGGTAGAAAATAACAGAGTAAATTACTTTTTAGTTTACCCTATGAAAATTAAAACAGTTTAAATGTACGTTTTCTTGAAGCATTTACTCATTGCTTTAAAAAGAAAATGGGCATAAAGTTCCCCTCATGCATCTTGCATCTACAAGATAAAGCTTAAGAGTCTTCAGCCACTTGTAAAATATTGATAAGATTTTAAAGTTTAAAGGTTCGTCCTTTTATGGTATGATAAGATTTTTTGGGGTTTCTTCCATCACTCCAAAAATTATAAACTTTTGTAATTTGATTTTCCTCAATTTATCATCTACGAGTCATATACTAATGATTTATATACTAATTTTTTAACACTACAATAAAGTTACAGTTACGACTTCACTTGTCTTCTTTTTCAAAACCCCATTTTCCTTTACAACATCAAGCAGTCGTCGAAGCCCACTCATGAGCCTGAATAAAATTGGCCACAGAGTAAACATCAACATGCTTCTCCGGTATCTCACTACTCCATGGAACTCTCTTCGACCTAACCGATCCCGGACCCGTATTCTTATATTCACCGTAATACAAAGTCTTCAACGCGAAATCCCCGTCCCACGGCATCCATCCTTCAGGACTAATCAAAGACTCAAGGTTACAGTTCACAAAAACCGTCCTCGAAAACTCCTTCCATGGCCTTCCCAAATAGTTCGTATGCGCTTTAGGGTTCGCTTGAAACTCCTTCATGTATTCCTCTGTTCCGTTAATCGAACAGTTCAAGAAAACGAATCCTGTGGACTGTGACGCGTCGATCCTCCCGTGTGCTGTGATCGCGTTGTTTGCGCCTCCGCCTTGCTCGAGTTTGGAATTTTTTGAAGCGATTAAGATACTGCAATCTTGGAATACGGCAGCTGAGTTACCGAAGATGAAATCTACGTTGCCTTGGATTCGACATTGTTTGTAGAATTGGCGAAGAGAGTGAGCATAAACGGTGTCTTGGTTCCCAAGAAACTCGCAGTTTTCGAGTATTGAGAAATCACTGTCTGATCTAAACGCTACGGCCTGGTGCGCGTCTGCTCCTGCCGTGTTCTCTATGGTTAAATCACGTGCCATGAATCCGTCGCCGAGAACTCCTGCCAAAACCCAAAAACATGTATCATTATTAACATTTTCTGAATTCTTGGAGGTTTGTCCAAATCTAACAAGACAACAAGTAACAGTACAGAAATTTCTTTGATTAAATCTAGCAACTTTTTATATTTTATGATTAGATTATCCATGTTTATACATTTTTGTGGTTATGACTAGAATAAAGATACCAAGGCAAACTAATAAATCTAATGAGATATTTTCAAAGTAATTGTCACATGGGTTCTGTCTCTACGGGAAACAGGAACAGTCGCATTCAATCGGACATAACTTGAATCTTAAAATTAAATAAATAATATTCTTTTCACTAGGTAGAGCCAGCATACTAAAAAAGATCTCCTCAAGAGTAGAAAAGAACAAAATTTATGTCTGACGTTTACTGTTGTTCTTCCCGTTTTATGTTGGTTGATTAAAGAAAGAAGTTATATTGTACTTAATTTAAAGAGACTCAGAAAGGAAAAAAAAAAAAAAAACAGTAACGTTAATATAAACTCACCGACAGTAGCAGAGTTGTACGTCGTCATCCCTGGTTGCCCTACATTCAACGACCCTGTAATTACCGTTTTGCCCATCCCATCTCCGATGAAGACGACGTTCTTCTTCTCAAACGGAACCCTAACGGTTTCCTCATACACGCCTTCTCTAATCCGTATCACAAACTTAACAGTTCCGTTAGTTCCCGGCGCTGCGTCAACGGCTTCCTGCACCGTCTTATAACCACACGGTCCTTTCCCTCCGTCCTTACACACAGTCACGTCTTCCGTTAAACCAGACGGGAAACCCAAATCGGCCTCCTTAGCCGTACCCATACCCGAGCCCAAACTAGGCCCAGCTTTCTCCCAAAACCCGTCTCGTTCCGTAGCTGGATGGATCCAGGAAGCGACGTCGTCTCCGAAACTGTCGAACGAGACCATCATGCTCAGCGCGTTTCCGGTGAGTTTCACGAGATCATCGAGAAACGTGATCGTGTCCACGACTTGCTTCGTGTCGTTGACGGTTTTGAGACCTGACCAGCAATCATACTGGTAAGCGAGAGCAGCGCTCATCCACGCACGAGCGTCTTTGATATCACCGGAGGTCACGGCGACGTCCGTCGATTCTGTGCGGTGCTCGGCGTAAGAGAGGATCTGAAGGCAAATGGTGGCGATGTTGGTTCGGTTTTTATTCCCTGCGGAGGAGTCTAGAATTGATTTGATTTTCGTCTGACCGGATTTGAGACTCTCGAATGAGACGGAAATCGCCGAGTGGATTATCTGGACCGGTTTAGGATCCGGAGGGACCCGACCCGGTTTAGAGAGGGAGGAAAAGCAGTGGTCAGGGAAACGCGTTGCGTTACAGGCGAGGCGGATCTGAGCGATGGGAGGAGGGGAAGGAGTCTCCGGCGGAGGAGTATCGCCGGAGGAGGGGGTTTGCTGCGGAGTATTGTGGCGGTGGTGGGAGGATTTGGAAGTGGTGGCGTAGAGGATGAGGGTTAAGAGAAGGAGGAGGATGGAGGAAGTGGCGATGATGATGAGGATGCAATTACGGGAAGGGAGGTTTTTCCGGTGAGGTTTTACGGCGGAGGAAGCGAATGGAGTTGAGGAGGAGGCGGAGAGAGAGTACGGGAGTTTCGGAGAATCCATTGGAGGGAGGGAGAGAGAGATATTTGTATATATGTATGTGTGTGTACGTATAGGTATAAATATTTATCAAAATAATTGAAATTGAAGCTGAAATTGAAACTGAAGAATAATTGAAATCTGAGTGAGGGAGAGAGTCAGAGGATGAGAATCAGGGATGGAGAGCGATGGCCATTAGAGATGTTGGAATTTTCTGGGTTTTGCTTCTTCTTTTTTCTTCCTTTCTTTTTTTTTACCTTTTTACGGCTATTAGGGAGAAAGGATTTCGAACTTAAAATTAGGACAAAATTATGGTTTTTACACCGGCCAATTATTTATTTTCGTCAATATAGCGAAATAAGTTCAAACGGCCGGACCGAAACGAGCCTAAAAGCCCATCAATATAGCCATGAGCAATAATTATTGCACCAGCCATGTAGAGTTTAGGCCGCTAGACTTTGATGCCCAAATAACTAGCTCAATCCCATGATATAATTATGTCACAGTGATTATCACCAACACCAAGCCATACCCTTTTCATATACAGTAAAACCTCTATAAATTAATAAGGTTGATATCATAATAATTTATTAATTTATCGTGATATTAATTTATTTATAAATTATTAATTTATAGAGAAAATTTGCTTTTCACGTATAATATTTTAAAAATCTCTTTGATAATGTTATATTTTAAAATTTTAACAAATCTCAAGATATAAATTATGATTAAGAATCATAACTATCATAATAAAATAGTTTTTAATACTATATTGGATTGTCCATGTAAAAATATACATGTTCATAAGTTTAAAATTTATAAAAAAACCATGGCTATTATCAATATTATTGATGATAAAATTGAAGATAACACTACAATACATTTAAAAATATTTAAAGGTAAGAAAATCAATTATCACATCAAAAAATCATCATAAATGTTGAATGTATATAGTAAAAAAGCAATAAGAGCTACTGATATAATAATTAAAGAGATGGGAACCAATGAGATTTCAACTTTAAGTAATAACAAACACATTAATTATATTTTAGAATATAATATTTACATATATTTGCATAAATTTATATCATTATTAATTTATGTTTTTGTTGGGACCATAAATTTACATAAAGATTTCAAAAAATATTATTATCTTATTATTTTATCGAATTTGATAGATTTTTACATTAGCCCGACTTAGGACCAACAAAATTTATTAATTTATAATGATTATTAATTTATCAAGTATTAATTTATAGAGGTTTTACTGTATATACACTTACACAGTCTCTCCATCTCTTTCGGTCTCAAATACTAACCATATGGTTTCTTGCTTGATTCTACGTCAAGTATAAAAATTATGAAAGAAGCAATATCTTTGTGTTCCAAAGTTATGAAATCGTTGCTCTCTAATCTATTGGTATTACTCTGGATATAACAATTAGATTTATTATATTAACAAAATATGAAGTAGAAGATGAACAAACGTCGCAGACCAAAACTTAAAACGGACAATGAAATTGTGAGTGGGGGCGGGTTTTAAATGGGCAGGGCCTAAACGGGCAAAAAAGCCCCCGCCACAACACGCCTAGATCATGGATTCATTATAATATAGATGAGAAATTCGTTAGCTACAGAGTAAGAAACTAAAAACAGGTAGAAAAAGAAAAAGAAGGACGTACATCAGTTAATTTGCGATTAGGGGTCAATAGCCATCGGTGTGATACGCTTCCTCGCCGGTTTATTTGAGACAGGTGTGTTAACTGTGCTCTGCAATGGCTGTTTCTCTTCCTCTCCTCTTGTTTCCGTCATCACTTCATCGGGTTTCTGCTTTTTCTCCTCATCATCCGTAATCATTTTGCTCGGCAATGGCTGTTTTCTCTCTTCGTCTTGTTCTGATCCACCCTGTTTATTTCTCTCGTCTGGTTTTGTTCCGGTCACCAGCTCATCGGTTTTCTCTACAATATGATTTTTCTCCTCACCACCCACAGGTTTCTTTCCGACTGCAATAGGAATGATGGGGGTCAATCCGGTTCTGGAGCGTCAAAAAAGAGAGTAAAAGAAATAAGGGCAAACCTGAGATGGAGACGGATTCTCCTAGTTCACTATCTTCGAATTCAACTAGTGTGCAGTAGCCATCTTGCGAGGACAGTGCCAGATACGAGGCATTAGGTGACCTGTTGAACAAATATATGGTCATTGGTTAAATTTCAACAACTATGAATATTGAGAGAAGGATCGATCAGATCATAAACAATGTCCATACCATGTTAGATCAGTTATTGCAGCGTAGTGGAGACCTGCTAAGACTGCAATTGGAGCGACACACTCCGTGTCATATATGTACACCGAATTTAATGTTGCTATGGCAAACACAAGACGGTAAGGAAGCTTGAAGAAACCCTCTTCTGCATGATTCAAAATACCATTTGAGTTCACCAAAGCGAGCACATAAAGGAAAAAATATACATCTTGAAGGCCTTGTTTTTTTCCTTCTTAAAAGAAGCTAAAAAAACGTTATGGGAAAACATAGTAATTACCGGAATTCGAACCCCGGAGTTTAAATGCAACAGGGCAAAAACGAACCACGACAACTGGTTTGTTGGCACCTGGAAGCTGCAGTGCAGGTCTGCTCGCGGAAAAAAGAAATGAGCGCATGTGAGACTTCGTATTTCTTTCTATTAATCTCATACATTCGCTCAAGCAGACGAGCTCAGACGCCTAAAATATGTTCCACAAGCCTCGCAACTTCCAAAACAAGAAGGTGATTATCTTACCTTGAAAGGTCCTTCCTGGAAAAGACATAGGTCGCATTTACAGCTTCGGATGTGGGTGAAAGCTTGAAAGAGCCTGCCAATGCAATACAGGATGACAAACATAAACAATATCCCGGTAAACTATGTCATGATCTATCCTAACTTTCTGAAGAAAACAGGACTGAGTTTTAGGGACAATAACCTGCTGGAATGAGTAAAAACGATCCATCAGGTGACCATGACAATCTTCGGAAGAAAGAGGGCAATGTCTCATCATGGAAGAGATGTGTTTTTACTGTCTGCATATCATGTCATTGTGAATTCAGGCATACTGTATATTCGCAATGATCATGAAGAAATTATTTTCTCGCTAACCTTAGTGTCTCCACCCCGTTGCTGATCTGCTTTCGTGATAACATGCTGACAAACGTAGTTAATTTTTTCACCACTTTTACTTTTTGTTTGAGGCTTATTGACATAAATCCGGCACGTTCTGTCTGAACTAAGAGAGGCTACGTATTTTGCTAAGGGGTCCCAGGCGACACCTTGAACATAATGACAGTGGGCATCCAGTATCTGATGAACAGAACCTTGTAACAAATACGGAAATTTGAGAAGCCAAAAATCTGGAATTAACATAAAAAATAACTGATCACTTCTTTTACTTTCTCACCTTTGTTAACGTCCCATATAATGCAAGAGTTGTCCACTGAGCCAGAAATCAGATAAGCATCATCAGGAGACCACTGAAGATCCAGGACATCCTTTCGATGAAATCTAGCAGGACAAACAAAAGTATAAATAATTCCTTAGTCCAGCACTATATGCTTTCCACCATGTTACTAGCCTACAGAAGCATTCTCCCCTCTTGAAAGCAACAAGTACTGAAACGCCCAACCGTGGTTCTTGCTAGTTTACAAAAGCATGGCAGTGTAGCTTAATATTCAGAGGAAAGAACTCACGATAATGACTTGTGAACTTTCCAAGACTGAGTGGTTTCACTAGGATGCAACTTCCATATGATAAGCTCGCCTCCTGATTTATAAAAAAAAAAAAAATTAGTGCAGAGTTGGTTTCATTACGCACTCAAAATATGCAAAACACAATTGCATCTTAGCCACAAGATGTGTTCTCTGTCATACCGTCTGCTCCTGAGGCAAGTAGTTCTCCTGCATATGATCATAGAACAATCGTCACCACTAGATACACAGATCTAAGAAAAAAGCATCTCTGATAATACAAAGCTTGATCCATTTTTGTAATTATTATCTGTTCCCAGAAAATTATACTTGAAAGAGTATCTACGAAACACATTACTTACCAGACCGAGAGAAACGAATGGTATTTACAGCACATCCATGATAAGTAAGGCTGTTCTGATAAGATACACTGGGAAGCTTCTTCTCCGCTTGACCAGAGTTTATTAACCATAGCTGCATTTTTTCAATTTAGTCAAACAAAGAAAGTCAACAATCATAACCGATAAAATTCCAGACGCCAAATCCATGAGAAGATCAGGCGCTCGATTGCAAATTTCAAACAATCAAAAGCGGATTTTAGTAATTCTCTTTTCTAAAGAATTGCAGTTTCAATCCATTTAAATTCTATAACCCGAATCTATTAGATGATATTGGGTCAGAATAGATCGAATGATTTTCCGGAACCCAGATCCTAAATTGGAGGAAATCTAATTGATTTCTCAATCGCATTACCTTGATATCGTAATCGGCTCCTGCGGTGGCAAGTAAACCGGAAACCGGGTGAAAATCTAGGGTTAACACCGGCTTCCCGTCGTGCCAACTTATCTGTATTGTTCCTCCCTTCATCTTGTTAATGACGCGCAATGCCCAAAATCGTAGCGAATTTTCTCGACAAAATTAGGGGAATTTCTAGGGTTTATTTGTAGATTAGTGGGGTGGGGAAGAGGAAGAACTAAAATGGACTGTCACTCTGGCGCGTCTTTTGGGGTCATTTGGGCGCCAAATATTAGTCTTCGTGTCAAATGACGATTTTATCCACCGACTAATCTTGCACCGATGAAATTAGTGTTTACATAATGAAATAATTATTTTATTGCTTTTTATAGTTTTTCTGATATTCACACTGGACTGCTACATTATTCATTTACTATTTCACATGGTAGCGAAGACTAATCTTAACATTTATACCCAAATATGGTAGCGAAGACTACTGCCTACTGTACTGTAGTCGCTGACCTACGAAGACAATCACTTCAATATATTTTATATAAAGTTTCCACGTAAAAGTATATTTATTTTATATGTATTGAAAGTTATACGTCTTTTGCTTTTTACTCTCATATCAGTCGACGTCGTCTAAAAAGCAGTATTAGTTATGAGGTCGATAATCGTTCAGCTTTTGTTTTTACTTTCTTTTAAATTTGGATAGACGACGTCGCCTTTCTCTTCTAAAGTAACACTTTTAAAACATTATCGCAATTTTAAAAGTGTAACATCTCCGAAGCGATAACACGTATAATGCATACAGATAAAGCAAAAGCTACAAAGAACCGGTGGAGATACAGTCTAATAAATAAAATATATAAAAATATCTCAATTCAAGTCTTTCCCCCAAATCTTTGGCACTAAACACGACTTACGGTTTTGGTATGAATGGTAAATTGGTAGAGAAATATAGAAAATCCAATATCATAATCAACTCTACTGTTCTTCTGCTATCAATATGAAAGTATGGAGCTAAAAATCATGGACTCGAAATTTAATTCCAATAAAAGTTACCATTAACATAAATTAACACAGAGATATTGCCATTTTCTTAACACAAGTTTTTTTCTTCAAGAAAGATAACAAAGTTTTTTTCTTAATGAAAGATAATACAATAAAAATCATTCGGCAAGCCGGTCAAGAATCCCGGAGACAACACCACAGATACGTCTCAAACTCACTTCACGCCGGCGGATCTCCGGCGGGTAAACCAAACCTCTAACTCGCCGGAAAAAATTCCGGCAAACATTGGGATAATCCTCCGCCGCCAACACATGCATGTAAGCATAGTCGTAAGCTTCATCATCAAGATCTTGAATCGTTAGCCGGAGAGAATCAGCGGCGAGGGCATACTTGTCGGAGCAGTCTTTTAAGACCTTCTTAAGAACAGTGTTGTTAGCGGCGGCGGTTATGTTTCCGGCGAGATAAGTTGCCGTGGCGGTGGCGTTTGTCATTCCAACGCCGACCATAATGGCGGCGAGACCTTTTGTGTCGGCTGTGGGGCTTCTTGGGTCGGATTTGAGAGCTGAGACGCAGAGTCGATAGTAGTTTGTGGTTTTGCAAGTTGATTCGATCGTCGTTGTGTTGGATTTGACTGAGATTAGGGTTGATGTTAGGATAACGAAGAGGATGAGAAGTATGGGAGAAGTAGCCATTTCAAGAAGAGGGTTTTGAGCAACCGTTTATGGAGAGAGATGGAAAGAAAGAGGATTCTTGTTTTTATATTCTGAGCAGTTTCTTGAATTACGTACGTATTAAGAATAAATAAAAGATATATGTCTATATAATATATAGATATATATATAATTGGTAATCGCAAAATGATAGAATTTCGTATGCCATTACAATTTTTTATGGAATGATCAAGCAATTCCTCGCAGTATGTGTTTTCTTTAGTTTTTGTCAGGTTGCCATATAACATCAACATGTTAGCATACAAAAAACTGAAAACAGGAATCGGTTTTATTCTTTTTTTCTTTCATTTGAAAGTAAGTTTGATATACTATCAGTTACCCAATGAGGAAAAAAAATAATATATATATATATATATACATAGTTTTGTACTTGGAAATTTAAAAAATTACAAGATACAAATTGTAAAGTGGCAAGCGAAGTTCTTTTATCAACATGGTGTGCGAATCTATCGACCATAACTTCAAAGACATGATGTCGAGTTGTGTATTGGTCTTTGCTTCTTGGAACTTAGTGATGTGTTGATCTGTGAATCTCGTGATTAGAATTATAAAGCCTTGTTTGGCTGTTTTCCCTTTCACGACAAAATCTCCCTCTGTCACTTGTTTTGCTCTTATTTAAAGATTATTTATCTTACATTTGCTTCTTCTTTTTTTATACAAAATTTATCCGGCATCACATTTCTAGCACTGTAATTATAAAATCGATGAAAATACAACGAAGTTCAACTAGTTCTAAATGTCACTAATACATAGAATAACTGCGAGCCGGTACAATTACAAATTGAATACATTCAACTGCAATAAAAATCGACCGTTTAAGTGTTTTGGTTGACAATTCCACTTATATATATATGTGTCAAATTTATCAACCAAAAAGTTAATCGATTTAAGCACCTTATTAATACATGTATAATTTTTGAAAATTAAATTAAAAAACAGAAAGTAATTAACATCACATTTTAATTATCGTATTAATAACGACAAAAAAAAATTTGTAGTTGTATGAACAATATCAAAAAAAGTCTTTATATTACAGGAAAAATAATCCGGTTTAATCAATAATCTCCGATTAATTGGAACGTCCACATATTTTCCGGAAGCCCAACGTAAAAGATCTGGCCCAAATTCACTCTTACGCGGGTAATGGACCCCATTCTTTTTAAAATTTGTGTGTTGTTACACGGATGAGAAAAAAATCCACCCGGGAATCTTTGACCCGATTGGAAAATGGGATCGTCTGCGAATACAGAGACGACGAATATCACCGCCTCTCCGGCGTCGACCCACAAACATCCGTCAACCAACGGCGGAGATGCGGTTCCGAATCATAGCCATGCTGCGATACTCGATCGCACGACATCAGAATCGGATTCGTCGAAGAAGAGAAGAACTGGGGTGCTTCCGCTCGAGGTCGGCACTCGCGTGATGTGCCTGTGGAGAGACGGAAAGTATCATCCCGTGAAGGTTATTGAGCGCCGGAAGAATCATAATGACGGCAACAATGAATACGAGTATTACGTTCATTACACAGAGTGTATGTCGTTTCCTTTCTCTTTCCGATTTTGTGGTCTAGGGTTTCGATATTGGGTCCTGACATATCGAAAATTGAAGTAGAAGCTGTGGAATTTTCTGAAACCTTAAGAGAAAGCTTTCAATTCAAATTGCCGTTGGTTTTTAGATGTGGTGATTAAGGATATACATGTTATGAGTGTTTGATTTTCGTTACACTTGTGAAACTACAGTTAATAGAAGACTTGATGAATGGATTAAGCTAGATCAACTTGACCTTGATTCAGTAGAGTGCGCCTTAGATGAAAAAGTGGAAGACAAGGTACCCATTCTTCAAATTCTTCTGCTTTCTTGTCTTCTGCGTTAAGCACTGAGCAGAGAAGTATGTTTTGGTGATAGGTGACTAGCTTGAAGATGACACGACACCAGAAACGGAAGATTGACGAGACACATGTAGAGGTAAGTGATTGTCTAATTTAGTTGTTATATATTGTGCTTTAGTGAACTGTGTGACAGGCTATATTCTGATATTTTTCAATATTTGTATAGGGTCATGAAGAGCTGGATGCTGCGAGTTTGCGTGAACACGAGGAGTTCACGAAAGTGAAGAACATAGCAACGATCGAGCTTGGGAAATATGAGATTGAAACATGGTACTTCTCTCCTTTTCCGCCAGAATACAATGACTGTGTGAAACTCTTTTTCTGTGAGTTTTGCCTGAGTTTCATGAAACGCAAAGAACAGCTTCAAAGACATATGGTGAGCAACTAGTTGTTCTTTTCGAATATTACGAGCTTTCATACTTGCATTCAATTTGTATACATTTCTTTTCTTATAACTTTTGAATCACTCTTTTTCTATGCAGAGGAAATGTGATCTTAAGCATCCCCCTGGGGATGAAATCTATCGAAGTTCTACTTTGTCAATGTTTGAGGTAATATCCTGAATATTTTCAACATATATATTTTTTCTGGTGTTATTCCTGCAAGTTACGCCAGTGTATTCAGCTTTGACTATTTTTTTTTCTCTCAGTCGGTTGTGTTGTATATTCAGAAGTGAGTTGTCACAACCTGTGAATTTACTTATAATCTTACAGGTGGATGGGAAAAAGAATAAGGTCTATGCACAGAACCTCTGCTATCTGGCAAAGTTATTTCTTGACCACAAAACTCTTTACTACGACGTTGATTTGTTCCTGTTCTATATTCTGTGTGAATGTGATGATCGGGGATGCCACATGGTTGGATACTTTTCAAAGGTACCGTAACATTTTGTTTCTTTGTGGGACTGTTACGTAGAAAATCTTGGTCACGACTGTTAAGTGGCACGTAAATTGACGGGGGTTTTATAGTAGACTTCTTGCTGATTGAATTCATATCAGTCTTTGCCTCGTGACCATATCCGTGAGATACAGTTGAAAAAATGTTTCGAAAATTACCGCAAGCACAAACTCTACCATTGATGTTTGGTTATTGACGTATTATCTCTCCCAGATTTCCTTGTTTTTAGAAATGCAGATATGTTTGATTTCAGTTGATTAAACGAATTTCTGTTGGTACAGGAAAAGCATTCTGAAGAGGCGTACAACTTGGCTTGCATCCTTACCCTTCCTCCATATCAAAGGAAAGGCTACGGCAAATTCTTAATAGCCTTCTGTGAGTTCTCTTTTCATCTAATTCTCTCCTTCTTTTCTCCTGTAAAGCTTACTCTTCTCTCTTTTGTTAAGTTGATAACAACTTACCCATTCTGTTGTGTTATATATATATATAGCATATGAACTCTCAAAGAAAGAGGGCAAAGTCGGGACACCGGAAAGACCCCTCTCTGATCTAGGCTTAGTGAGTTACAGAGGTTACTGGACTCGGATTTTGTTAGACATCTTGAAAAAGCACAAGGGAAACATATCTATCAAGGTATGCATGCTCCCTTAATCATGCTATTAGCCTATTTATCAACAGATTAATTTATACATATCCCAAACTTTTCTCAAATGTAGGAGCTGAGCGACATGACGGCGATTAAAGCAGAAGATATATTAAGCACCCTTCAGAGTTTGGAACTAATACAGTACAGGAAAGGACAACATGTGATATGCGCGGATCCTAAAGTACTGGACCGGCATTTGAAAGCCGCAGGCCGAGGTGGTCTTGATGTAGATGTTAGCAAAATGATATGGACTCCTTACAAAGAGCAGGGCTAAGTGAGAGAGAGAAAGTGAGAGCCTCATCAAAGGCGGACCCATGCCTATTACATTTTTAATATTCATGTTTAACCGTTTGTAATATATCAAAACTGTAGTATGTTTTGTTGCTTATGATCTTTTGTTGAATTTGAAATAGATAAGATTTTCTTGTAAGAAAGAGATTCAGATAAATAGGAAAAATTTCTATTTTACTATAATATATGTATATATATATATATGATTTCTTTATAATTTTTACTTGATTAACTTATTTATTCAAGTAAAAAAAACTTGTTTATTCATACAAAAAAACTTGTTTATTCATTCAAAAATAATTATCTTTAGTTGAATTTAAATAGAAAATAATTTTTTGTAGCATCTTCAAAATCAATCATACACACTTATAAGTCTTATATATTATATATGTACAATTCTAGAAAAGCAGTGAAGTCTCGCAGTGGGACTCTGACTTTTTGGTCTACACCGGCCCTCTTTCAAAGAGGGATCTAAAGGTAGCATGTGATCAGAAACCAAAGCTGGACTTCAGGAGCTTATTCATTCATTCGCCATATATACATAATTTTGCCACCGCCACCATTACCGCTGCAACGCCTCCCACCTACATAAAAATTAAAATTTGTCATATAACAAAATAATATATTTTTAAAAATGACAAAGGTAAAAAACTATACATTGTAGCCAATGTTGTAATCTTAAAGTTTTGCAAACTGCTACTTTCATATTTGTGGAGAATTTCAGGTCAGATATTGTGCATAAAACAATATAAAAAACTAACTATAAATATTCTTACATCAGAAAAACACTAAAAATAATATAAAACAATATTAAGCTATAGATGCACAATCTAGTTATTAGTAAAAATAATAGAAACAAAGCTAAGAAAGAAAAAGTGTGTTTAAATCATTCCATTTTGCCTCCCTATATTCACAAACTTCAAATTAACAAACCTTACAAAATTTGTTTTAAAATGATTTCGGTCTCTTTTGAAAGTTTGTTAAAATTCAAGGCAACTCAATATGTCATTTCGAATGGCGGTTAACTCTTTTAAGTGGTTTTCCACTTCAACGATGTTATCTTCTATCGCCTTTGCATCCACAAATGCAGAGTTGATATAAGAATTTTAATACACTTTCAAAAGGGACAAGAATCATGAGTTTGGACCGGAATCACATTTTGCATCCCACATACGTTTGAGTTCGATCTAATCACTCATGTTAATTAATAATTAATAACATTTACAAATTACAACCACTATAAAAATCGACCGTTTAAGTGTTTTGGTTGACAATACCATTTATATCTGTCAAATTTAT